ATATCCTTTTAAAAGTTCTGGTAACTTTTCATTAGAATCAGGATTTACTGTACAGATCCTTTGTATTAGGTTTAATTTTTGCAAAGTAGGTAAACCTAAAATAGCTGGAACAGTTTTATCACATGCAACGACTTGAAATTCTATTTCATCCTTGTCCCCTTTTGATGTTTCACATAATAATCTACATTTTCCAACTAATCAATTGTAGTACCATTGTAATTATACCATCTTTTTCAGTGACTTTTGATTTAGTCAAACATTTCTCTCTTAAATTTAATTGTTTAAATTTAGGCAATGGTAGCACATTACACTGAGCTCCAGTATCCAACTTAACAAATAAATATTTAGATATGTTTACTTTTAGTTTTTCAAACCATTCGGTTTTATTTTTAGAAAATGGATTTATATCTTCTACTGACCCTAAAATATATTCATTACCATTATTATATAACTCATGCTCTAAATTATTCTGTACAACATTAACATTTTTAAAAGTGCACATTTTAGAAAAGTGATTTTTCTTTTTACAGTACAAGCAAATCTTATTATAAGCAGGACAGTTGTATAACTTATGAAAAAGTTCCACATTTTCTACATGGTTTTGGATTATTGTACTACTTATTTCCTTGATAGTTTGAAGAAGATTTAGTACTTTGTGCTTTTGTTTTAACATGAAAGTCTTTCTTACAAGGCTGACATTTTTCCTCTGAAGGTCGAAATTTATTACGTTTGATAGCTTCTATTTTATTTTCTTCAGTTAAAGTTTTCAGCTGAAGTTCTGCTAATTCAGAAGCTTTACACATTTTAATACATTTCTCCAATGTTAACTGATCTTCCCTTAATAATATATCTTTGAGATTTTTATTTAGAATTCCACTTACTATTCTATCCTTTATTAAACTATCTTTTAATTCTGCAAATCCACAGTTGCTACTTAATTTCTTTAAATCGGTTTAAGAAATCATCAAACGATTCACCTACATGTTGTGTTCGACAGAAAAATATATGTCTATTAACACTTTCGTTTGCTTTCGGTATGCAAAAATTTTCGAAAGCTTCAATTACTTTGTCAACATTCTTCTTATCTTCTTCACTTAAATTAAAGTATTAAATTTTTCAAGTGGTTCTTCACCAATTATATGCAATAAAATAGCTACTTTAATTTCAGGTGGGCTGCGCCATGTGTTGTATTTTATATGTGTTGGGTACGTGCTCAGTGATGATTACAAGATGTACACAAACATCGTTACATTACTCATCTACTACCGTATTTACGCGAATCTAATGCGCATCGTTTTTGGACAAATGTAGTATTCAAAATCGGGGTGCGCATTAGATTCGAGTGCAAAGTTCGCCAATGACGTCAACAAAATTTCTCGACTACATTTACCGTTACATTTATTGTTGGCACATTATTGCATAGAGGATACAAACTGCAGAGTACGTAGTCACGAAATAGAAGAATGTCATATGACATTCTTCTCTGTTTGCCCACTTTCAAAACTTTCAAGCGTAAAGTAATTCTTTATGCTGAAAAAAATGGCAATAGAAAGGCAGGGAGAGAGTTCAACGTAGCTGAGAGCAATGTTCGCTTGTGGCGGCAACAGAAATTGGCACTGTTTGCAACTAAAGCTAGTAGAAAGAAATTCACTGGCCCTCGCAAAGGAAGACACCCTAAAATTGAAGAAAAAGTTTTGGAATTTGTACGTGAAAGGAGGAAGAATGGACAACCTGTGACTAGTGACTAGTTACTAGTGACACCATAAGAAATAAAGCAAAAGAGGAGGCTGAAGTTCTTGGAATACCGAAACAAGAGTTTAAGGCTAGCCGTGGATGGGTGGATCGGTTTATGAAGCGGATGAGTTTATCTCTAAGACGCCGTACAACAATATGCCAAAAGCTTCCTGCAGATTTTGAGGGAAAACTACTAACATTTCAGCGGTATGTCATCACACTTCGGAAAGGAAAAAGAATTTTTCAAATGGGGCAAATTGGCAACGCTGACGAGACGCCAATTTGGTTTGATATGCCTCGTAACTACACCATTACGGAGAAGGGGACTAAGGAAGTTATCATCAAAACTTCGGGATGTGAAAAACTAACGCGTAACAGTGATGCTGGCAATAACAGCAGACGGGTGCAAACTTTACCCTTTCTTAATCTTCAAACGGAAAACATGCCCTAAAACCCCTAAGAATGAAAAGCTTTTCCCAGATGATGTCCTGATTCGAAACCAAGAGAAGGGGTGGATGACGGAATCATTAATGCTTGATTGGCTCCGAAATGTATGGAAATGCCGTCCCGGTAGGCTCTCTAATCCACCATCAATGCTTTGTCTGGACGCATTTCGTGGTCATCTCACCGACGACGCAAAAAAGAAGATGCACAGCCTAGGCAGTGATCTTGTTATCATTCCTGGAGGGATGACGTCTGTGTTACAACCCCTGGACGTTAGTATAAATAAACCTTTTAAGGGGTACGTTCAGGCGGAGTACGAAAAAGACAGGAAAAATTAAGCGTGCTGCACCGCACATTGTTGCACACTGGGTTTCTGCTGCTTGGAAAAGCATCGAAGCACCAATGATTGTGAAATCTTTCAAGAAATGCTGCATTTCAAACTCATTGAATGGCAGTGACGATGACGTGCTCTGGAACGCCGAGGATGACGATGACGATGATGAGGAAACAAGAAATGAATCTGCTTCTGACAAAGAGAGCTGCGAGGATCCCAGTGATGAAAACATTAGTGAATAAAGACGTTTACTATTAATCACTGATTGTAGAAACTGTTAGCTAGATAGAAATGTTACGATTTATTTCATGTTCATATTTTACGAACGTATATACGGTAGTGCTAATTAACATTGATTGTTTCACATGACAATAGCCCACTAATTCTATGTTCTGCTACTTTATGTATAAATCCATTGTTGTATAAAATAAGATTCAATAAATTCCTCATATCATTGATGCGCATTACATTCGCCGACAAACAATTTTTTTATTATTTAAAAGTTTTAAAATGGGGATGCGCATTAGATTCGATGGCGCATTAGATTCGCATAAATACGGTATATTATATTACAGTTATGGTTAAAGATAATAATAGATACAGTTACAGTTACACATATAACATTTACCATAGCGACACTCTGGCCCTAGGTTCACTTAACAGCGCTACGTTTCTTTTTTTAACTCAGAATGCACAAAATTTATATCATCTTAAGAATTATCTAATCATTGCCACATGTTCTATTCAAATACTATAATAAATCTAAAACGATGTATAAAAGAAATTAAGAAAAGAACAACAACAAAAAAAAAGTTTTCCGCAGACAATTCAGTATTTCTCATTCAATTAATTCAGTTCTCACTTCGCGACAAGGCAAAAAATACATAAAAACTCAAAATGTCTGTATTGAAAATTATGAAGTAAGTCTTAACACTTATTTCCTCTAATAAATTCCAGAATGGATTAAGCCTGATTTAATTCACAATAATAAAAGAAAGCGTTATCTTTGTTATTGTGAAGCTTACTTTCTCTAGATTGGCAACAAATCTATTATTCTGTTGTTTAAAATGTAAACAAGCAATGGCCGACGTGGCAAAAATTATTAGGCTTAGCGGCACTTAAACAACTTTTAAATTGTTGATGATTCTAAAAAAATTGCATACAGATTTACTAAAGGCATAAAAACATTAACCGGAATATAAGAACAGCATAATTCAATCATTTTTAAAGCAAAAAATGCAAAATTTACAAACATAGAAGAATAAAGAAACTGAGATCACTGAGCCAAGTAACAGAGTGGATGTATATATATATATATTTATATACTTTTGGTGCAGCCGATTGCAACCAAAATACGAGGTACACATCTACATGTTATAGCAGTCCTGTATACAAAATTTCAACATTCTGAGGCTACTCATTTTTGAGTTATGGGAGATACGTACTGGTACAGACGCCATGAAAAATTCTCTTTAGAATTCATTTTAAATTCGTTTTACAATTTTTTGAGGAAAAAAGAGTTTTTTATTCTGGAAGTAAAAAAGGCATGATCATCTTATTTATAAGGCTATCTTAGCCCAATAAATATGTCAAGGGAAGTCATTAAGTAAGTTGTAAATAGGCGTGATATCTTTGAACATAACAAAAAGTATTTTTTGTATATGTTAACAGGTAGCAGAACCTGATACATGATATTCATTTCATTAGTTACTAAGTACCAGTTGTACTTGTGCAGTTCAGTTTGAAAATTCCAATGGAACTCGATGATTATACAAGAAAAGAGAAGCATACTGTTAATTTTTTTTTTTTTTTTTTTTTTTTTTTTTTTTTTTTTTAAGGAATCAAAAGGATTTTGTATAATGATATTCATAAAGGAATGTTTCTGTTTCATGGAGAGAAGTTTTTGTCATGTTATGCCCAGCACAAATAGGTTAAGAAGTTTCCTCAAAGTCACTCCAAAGTTTGGGATGAAAGCTGAAGTGGGCATTCTGTTCAGAATGAGAGAGAACAGCACAAAGGGTGAACGAATCGATTCAAGAAATGAAGTACACATTATAGCCAGCATATAATATTTTTTAAGAATAACAGTAACTGCTTGGTACACTAAAAAAAAATCTTGGAGGCAGCCACTTTGCAGATAACAAGGTTCAAGACCTGGCTGAGATAGCAGCTCAAGAATTTATGCAACGAGTATTAGAGCACAGATAAAATGATGGGACAAGTGCATCAATAAATATGAGGATTATGTAAATATAAAAACAATTCTCAGATGAGCATCTCATTAGGTTATTTCATTACTGCCTTTTGTGACTTATTTACTGACTTCCCCTACTCCCTGTTTATAAAAACATTAATATAATGATGTTAAAAATTTAGAATTTTAAAATTAAGTATAATAGTTATTAAAATTATTAATAATAATGTAATTTTATACAAAATCTTTGTAAAAGTAATCACATCACACCATTTAATTATAGCAAGAACTTACTTGCTTAAAAACCTTTCCAAGTCTGGTATCTTTTTTAACAATTCAACTACTACTTCAACAGTATCACAGATTTCCATAAGGTCATCAATAGCATCTAGACGATCAGTTATACTTCTTGGATTACACAATGGTGAACAAAGCCAATGTCTAAAAAGCCTTTTGCCTGGAAAAATATTTATTGTAAGACAAGAAAATGCTCCATCCAGTTAAATTCATGAAAAGAAAATACTAAAAAATTTATTAAGAAAAATACTACATATATGCTGTTGTTTCAAATCAGTCATTTATTATTTTTATTACTATTTTATTATTTTTATAATAGCCAGTTTTAAATCAATCATTCAATTATCTCATCACTGAGAATATTGCCACAGGGGGTGACTGATTTACCAACTTCCTTGTTCCATCCTACGAGCTGCACCCTGGGCAATAAGTCCAAGGGTCTCCCATCCTTCTTCTCCTATTGCCAAATTTTAAAAGAACTTTTGACTCTTTATATATTTTCAGGTTCTCCATATCTCCATATTCACACATATGCTTACTGACATCCATGCCTCCTCTGGAATTCAAACCTGAACCCAACAATACAGCAGACAGAAACATTAACCACTACACCAATCAGGATGGCATGCTGTATGCATTGTAAACTAAATTTACATTAATGACATATTACAGAATGTTCATATTCTTCATCAAAATCATTCTACAGATTTAGTAGTATAAAATGAATATTTCAATAAATCCAAAAAATATTTAGTTTTTCATTCCAGTTCACAGTTATCTTTATAGGAGATTTTTCTTTTTAAACAGTGTATTTACTTAATATTCATTTAATTGGACAATAAGCATGTTGATGATCAATCATGTGGCATGAAATTTTTGCCTGAGTTTTTTCAGTAGCTGTTACAGGAAAAATATTTTTTATGTGTTTTATTAATATAACTATCAGCAGTATATTTAAGATATTACTGTGAAATTGTGCTAGATATTTAATATTTGAAAATATTTTCTTATTTTTTCTATTATTTCATAGTGGATAAACTCCTATCTTCATTCTTAGAAAATATGATGAAAAAAGAGTAAAAAATTAAAATAAAAGAACAATCTTATAGTATATTTTCAATACACATGATTTTAATGTGTAAAAAATTAACAGTAGTGACTTGAATTATAATAAAACAATCATATAGTATATTTTCAATAAAAACGATTTTAATGCTAAGCATATTTTTATTGGAATAAATTCACATATATCAGTTTAAGTGAATTTTTACAGCCAAATAGCAAAATTAATCATTATGTTCAAATCATAATACAATATTTGGCAAAAAAAAAATTAATGTGCTGTACTAATAAAGTGTCATCAAATACAATTCAGACACCAAAAAATTATTTTACTTACCAAAACTAGTTGAGCAAAAATCCATTACACCTAACAATGATTCATCTGTAGTATCTAATGGATGAACAGGAACAATATCCAAATTCTGCAATGTTACTCCATCCAAACCTGAAAATAAAATTAAAAAAATAATAAATAAATAAATAAATCTGAAAGGTTTCAGACTTTAAATTAAGTCTAAAAGGGTTTTTTTTTTTTTTTTTTTTTTTTTTTTAAATGTTTAGTGTGTTACCTTTATTTATTAAATATCAAGTTCTTTGCACTTAAACCATAAAATTCTGTTCAACAGCAATGTCGCAAAATAGTTTTAAAATGAACATATCTTTAGAATTTCCGATACACAGTTCCCCATGCTGGAGATAAAAAGGCTTTTCCACTCAGTGAGTGCTGCCATTAGTCACTTTTAAATTGTTCAGTTTGTTAATCAAAAATTCGTTAAAGTTTTACAAAATATGAAATCGATAATAAAATAAATTCCAAATCGGGCTTTCAGATGCCCATTTTCGCAGTAGGATTACATCATTCAAAATCGGATGGCTCTAGGTACCGTTGTTTTATCACAATGTGAGAAACATACGTACATTTATGCACAGTCTTCATTATTTAATTTCTTCAAATATAATGCAGGACTCTAACATTTGGTGGCAACAATTTGAAAAGTGATTCGCCATTTACAGTGATTCGACACAAAATCACAAAACGAAAACAGTAGTCCTTCAGGAACAAAGCCCCTTTGGACTAAAAAAATTATTCCTATAACAATAAAAGAGCCATGATAATTACAAAAAGGAGAAATATATTTTACCATAAATCATTCAAAAGGAAAAATATTTTTAACTGAATTATTTACAAAGAAAAAAATACTTCTTGGTCAGATCAATATTATAAGCTATAATTTCATAAGCATAGAGAACATTTAATACCCATACTATAATTACCTAATCAAAATCAACAGATAAATTAGTCGATATTTTACATATGTATTGCTATTATATATATTTGTCCTTTTCGCTTGCCATTATATATATTTATATTTTAGTATACTCAGCAATAATTAAATATTTTACTTTACATTAACTGTAAAATAATAAAATTAAAATTGTACAGAACACAATATCCAGGATTAAGTCATTCAAAATGTACAAAATACTAATTTTTATACATAATTGTGCTGACACTTTTCAGAAAATATTTCATGTTCTAGGATTTACATGAAAAGCACTTTAAAGATTTTTACACCTTCTTTCATTTTCTCCTTTAAATGTCTTAGCTTATTTTAAGATAAAATTAAATCTCTGCTATTTTTGAATCTTTAGATTTTATACTTTACACCTCAAACTAAACCATATATTTATATTTTTTATTATAATTTTATTTTTAATTTTACAATTTTTTACCTATTCAAAAAACACAAAATCAATATTTACCATATGCTGCTTTATAAATTCATTTGATTCTTTAGTCGCTACTGCAATACCATCCAATGGTTTAAATTCTTCAAACAATTTCATAGTAAGGACAGCATCTTCAATGCAACTTTCTTTTAAATACCTACCAAAAAAAAAAGCATTACAAATAAATATAAAAATTATGAATGTCAGTATCATACAAGACAATGCACTTCAGTCTCTTTATGTCACCTAAAACAAGGTATTTCATAAATAAGTATGCCTGAAAAAAGCAAAATTTTACATATTTCAAATTTTTTCATTTACAACAAAGGAATGGCAGTACTGAAGATATTAAATTAATGTTAAGTAAATCAATAAAATCATATAAATTTTAAATTACAATACAAAGTCTGTAATTGGACATTCAATGTCCGGATCTCCAGACCAACTTCTCAGCTTTTTTTTCTTCTCCCAGAAAGGGAGGAAGAATTAGATGCCAAAAGTTAGCATCTCTGTTTAGTACACCTCAATGCTTTACACATATGCAGCAGATAATTTTTCATAATAAAACATATAGAGGGGTCTAATTCTTAATTTCACTCGGCATTAAGTAAAATACCTCCACATTGAAGAATCGCAATCATTCATTAGCATAAATCTGAAAGATCAATAATTTAGTTTTACAGCTACCTTTCTACTTGCCATACATCTCAAATCAACACATTTTATTTAAGTTCATTACTGACTTTATACCTCTTCAATAACTTATAAACCTGGCAAACTATTTTTTATTTTTTCCTTTAATCATCACATGATTGCTCAACTTGAGAAATGAAATGACTCACACAGCTATATATAAAACAGTTCTTTTTCTTAACAGTTTACTGACCGCTAGCTGTTCAACAGCATACGCACGTCCGACTGGCCACTCAGCCGCAGATTCTTCATGTTCTAAATAACTGTCAGGATAATCAGATAAATCATCTAAATAAAACTCACCAGTACCATTTTTTTCGCTCATCGTGAACGGTAATTTTTTTTTTTTTTTTTAAACAGTGTGAAAATGTGGGAGTTTACGAAGCAAAGCACTTAACGCAAGTAAGCAATGTACCTCAATACTAATAATAAAATGCAGATGATATAGCAAATGGCAATTGTTTATCGCCATGGCTACTGACTGATAGGCTATTTTTAGGTAGAAAGTGATTATGATTAATAGGCTATCGGTCAAAGAAAAAAGTGATTAATAGGCTATCGGTCAATAGGTGATGGCGAAAAAAGCCGATTAATAGGTTATCGGTCGGCAGGGGTTGCCTAAAAAAAGCCGATTAATAGGCAATCGGTCTGTAGATGTTGGTGATGAAAAGCCGATTAATAGGCTATCAGTCGGTAGGCGTTGGCGATAAAAAGCCGATTAATAGGCTACCAGTTGGTAATGTGTTAAATATTAGTAACTAAATACCAAACAACACAGCACATTTTTATGTTGACATTACACTTGGTGAAGATTATAGACTTCAGCCAACTGCACTGCCAAGTGTTGAATGTATTAACAAGGAGAAATTTAACAGAAATTCCTCTCCATATGCAATAATTAGATTTTATAATTGATATTCATAGTCCAGAGGATTACTTTTAGTGCCATTAGAAATAATAATAACTGATTTGTTGTTCAGATAAATTCAGGAATTTATTTATTCGGGACTCATAAGCCTTATGCATATGTCGGAAATAGGCATAATTATAATAATAACTAAATTAATATAATTCAGACGCAACTTCCGCAAAGCACATTAGAAGCAAGACAAAAGTTTAGCAGAACAACATGTCTTAAGTCGTTAATCTCATGCTACATCATCAATAGTGTATAGCAGGTGCTAGCCACGAATTTGAATTGTTTAAACTAATGATCAAAAATCTGAAAAATTCTAAAATCCAGGATCATCAGAGTCCTAACAAGTTTGGACTACATTGCTCTAACGCCACTGTCACTATGTGACAAGTAATGCCAAAGATACAGGCAACCATTTGTTTTGATGTCCTTCTTGACCAAAACACTTTTGTCGGATTTGGCTCATTTTGGAAGACCCATGCAGTCGACTGCCATTTTTGTATATATAGATAAAATGTGTATTTCCATGCTTTTTTTTAAATACTGGCTATATAGCAGCAGTGAACAGTAATAAGAATCTCTCATATCTGAAATTCATACAGATATTTATAATGCAAGGTAGATTTTATTAATGTCCATTTATTTATTCTGTTGTTATTAATTGCTGTAATATTCAACATATTTACTACACACTAAAATTACATACACTCACTTTTTCTAGTGATTGAGCAATCTTTAAAATTATTCTGCACTTCCATTCAATCAATAATACTTAATATTAGAATTTAGACTTTTTAACTGATCTTAGATGATTTAACAACAGTAACAAAAAAAGAGAGTACAAGTTTAGAAATTTTAGTCTCTGATTTTTTTTTAAATTTCCTAACTTGAAATATGAATTTTAATATATTTCATTATTATGCATGAAGAGATTATTAAGGGAAGTTTTGTTAAACATTTTTTTAAGTTTCTAATTTCAGTCTTATAATTAATAAAGTATTTACAGTAAGTGTGCCACAGTCAGGTTTAGTAACCAAGCATATTAATTAATTCATTATTAATGAATATAAAAGGACAGCTCAATATAGAGATAACAAATAATCAGTTTATATTTCCATCCTTAATTTATTAAACAATATTAATAAATTTACCAGATGCAGGCACCAAGTGACTTGAAAGCAAGTTCATAATTCTTTAAAGGAGTCTGTAATAATCGGTCATCTGAAATAAAAGATCGTTATTACGAAATAATCATTATTTCTAAGCATATTATTTAATTTTATTTAGTAACTGTTTAAGAATAAAAAATAATGTAAAAATTTATATATCTTAATAAAAAATATAATGATATATATGTGTGTGTGTGTGATGTAGATGGTGATGGCATGTAGATGCATAAATACGTAGTTGCAGTCAAATGTTAGCCGTCATATCAATTCAACATATTTTAGTTTAATCTTCAAAAGCACATTCTTAATATGAATTATACATTATAATAAGTGCAATCTGTGCATCCATCTTGATCACATTGTTTTCTATCCTATATCTTATGACAATACAATTAATGAATGACAGGAAAACAGCAACATGTTTAGAGGACAGCATGCAATAGCAGAATTGAGACATGTTCAAGATGAAAGTTATTTGAGTTTTACTTCAGTTTTTCCACTAGCTGTTAAAAGCTTTGCTTCCAAAATCTGAAATCATTTGAAATTATTATTGGCTAAATACATGAATAATATAACATGAATAAATTTGGGAACGACAAAGTTTAGAAAGGTTTATCATAAGCAGTTACTATTTTTAGGAGTGAAAGGGAAAACAACCAAATTGAAATACAGAGTTAAGAAACTAGTGAAAATTAAAGTTAAAATTTTGCTTTACATATTTTTATCTTACACACACATACATAAGGTGTTGTCAAATTTGACTGACAAATTCAGAAGTTGATAGTAGGTATTAAGGGAATGAAAATGACCATAGACCTTGAGGTTGCAAATCTTGTTTAGTCGATGAAAATCACAGAAATAGACATCGAGAGGACCATGAGCCTGACGAAGAGAGTGTATCAATTGCTTTGTTGGGTGTCGCAAATCGTTGATCCTGTAATTTATTTTGGATGTGTGGGAATTAAAAAAAAAAATAGTCATTGGGTGAAAAATCAGGGCTTTATGGCGGCTGATCCATGAATTTGATATTTTGGCCCGTCAAAATTTCCTTTGTTTGAGTCAATGTATGAGAGCTTGCATTGTCATGATGAAGAATGATTCGGATTTGCTTCTTGTGCTTTTTTTGAATTTTTCCAATGACTTCTGAGAAACAAACAGTCGTATACTATTTGAAACTGTCCATCCTACATTGCTCTAATGCCACTGTCACTATGTGACAAGTAATGCCAAAGATACAGGCAACCATTTGTTTTGATGTCCTTCTTGACCAAAACACTTTTGTTGGATTTGGCTCATTTTGGAAGACCCATACAGTCGACTGCCATTTTTTTCTGGGCTCATATGCATAGATCCATGATTCATCATCTGTGTAAATGTTATAGACAGCCTTTGATGCACCTTAAATGTATTTTTCCAACATTTCTTTACACCAATCGACATTAGCCTTCTTTTGAGCGTTTGTCAGATTATGCAGTATGCAACACGAACAAATCTTTTTTACAGCAAAATATTCATGCAGTATCTTATTGATGCTTATCATACTAATGCCCAAAGATGCCTCAATCTCACAGTATATCACCTGATATCTTGCTTTATTAGTTCACATACATCATTGATATTTTCTGATACAACAACTGATTTTGGATGACCTTCACGGAATTTGTCCTGAAGTGAACGTTGACTAACATTGAATTCGTTATATCATTTTTTTACAGTGCTGTAGAATAGTGTTTTATAATATGTATGAAGAATTAAGTTCATTGAAACACTCGTCTTGATACTTCATGTCGAAAGTTATGAAAAATAATGGCACGAGTATGTGCATGAGTAAATTCTATTTTTTGCCCGAGATGAGTTTTTGAATTTACTGTAAGCAACACAAATCATGCTAATATTGCAAAACATTCTGAAGAAGTTATTGTTAAAAGTAATAAACTTTCGACTGGAATCATCTTCGGTAGTCTAGCAACACTTACTGTTGCCAGTTCCGGAAATATAAATAACAACATTCATATGTCAAATAAATGCTTTTATATTTATTATTGGCCTTTTCTATTCCACTCAACATCACACCCTTCATAACTACACTGTTGGCCATTAAAATTGCAACGCCAAGAAGGAATGATCTGACGAACATCGAAATCACGTGAAAGGAAAAAGCATTTTGTGAAATCACATGAAGGACATTTGCAACAGCGTGTACTATCAGTATGGCGACCATTATTTAGGCTTCTCTTAACAATGCAGCATATAGACGGTGACTCTGGTGTGCCTAATGAGAAAGATGGATAAAGTGGCACAATGTCATCTTTTTAGACGAGTCTCAGTTCTGTGTGCAGAATTCTGTGATGGCTGTATTACGTGTCTGGAGGCTCCAAGGAGGCCGCACATTGCCTGCAAGTATTCGATAATGGCATAGGGGCCCTGCACCTGGTGTGATGGTTTAGGTAGCCATTCAGTACATAAACGTACAACTCTAGTTCAAATTGACTGTAATTTGAACACAGATCGATACATTTCTGATACCTTACGTTGAGTGATTATGCCTTATCTTTGAGGCCTGCCAAACGCCATCTTCCAACAAGATAATGCCAGACCACACATTGCACGTACTATTCTGACCCTTCTCAATACACAGAATATTTGATTGCTGCCCTGGCCTGAACAGTCTCCAGATCCGTCACCCACTGAAAACATCTGATCATGGGTTGCTGAGAGACTGGCCCGCCACCCCTCTCTAGCTATTACGGTTGATGAAGTGTAGCATAGATTTGAGACAGCATGGAATGAGTTGCCTGTTTCTGTCATCCACGCCTAGTTTGACTGCATGCCTAACCAGGTAAGGGTCGTTCCAGCTGCCAGGGGTGGCAGTTGTTTCTATTAATTCCACAGCCCTGTAAACCCCCAAACTGCTTACAAATTTAAATATTTTGTCTTCATGCGATACTGTTTATGTGCAATAAATACCTTTCTTTTATGGTGTTCCTTCATGGTGTTGCAGTTTTAATGGTCAGCAAGGATTTTTTGCAATTTTCTCAAATTGAACAATGTTTGCGACCCCATGTCCTATGGGTCTTGATGCCTTGTATCACACTTCTGAATTTGCCTGTCAAATCTGGCAACACCCTATATATAGTATTGCAAGTGGAAAATGGTGCACGTTATTCCTCTAATGTGTGCTAATAATCCTGTAAAAAAAGGCGTTCATATTTAGGATGAAATTATAGCATTGCTTCTAAAACAAAGTTTTTCTCACTTTCTAATAATTGTAGTAATTTATGTAATAATTTGAACCTGACTTTGCCGATACATTCCAAAACATGATTCAAGAGCATCAATTTGAAATTTTCCTAACAATATGTATTCAGCTTCATACTTTTGAAACAAGTATGTAATCAATTAAACGAATGTATCTGTAATTGTTATTAATACCTGAAATATTTGTGGTGATAAAGTTTTTTTTATTGGGACAGACAGTTTCCATATCTTAAGCCACAACACTAGTTTCTTTAAGAAATTAATCTGCTCAGCATTCTGAGAGTTAATTTATCATTAAAGTGCCCACTTTGAAAACTACTTTTACAGTTTACAATTTTCCACCTTCTTTTAGGTGATTTAGGTAAAGTAGTCACATGCACGTTTTTGTCGTAATTGGATTTGCAACTAAATACACTGCATTGTCGAAGCATTCTGTATTCAAATATGCTATTAGAAAGAAAAAATCAAAAAATGAATCCCTAATGTACTATACCAAACAAATACAGTCAAAAGTCGTTAATTTGGACACCCATAATCCGGAATGATCTATAATCCGGATCTCAAAGCTACAAACTTTCTGCGCATGCGTCGCATTCACGCATTTCATAAAAGTAAGCTTGAACTTTCGATTATGTCAAATAGAATTTCCGATATATATTTACTAATATGTAATTTGTATCTACAAAGCGAAAGTATGTTTTGAAATCCAAAATCTGTTTATCAATTTCACGCCACGGATTGGAAGTTGATCTGTCAGCACTATCCTTATCTTCAGGGCAGATGTTTTTATTTTATTTGGCTTTATAATTCCGTACTAAGTGTAGTATTTCATCTCGATGTACTCCGTCTTTGATATGATTTAAATCAAGTTCCTCGTCATTATAATTCGCTTCCGATAGTGAAGAAAGTGACCCAGAGGTTATTGAAAACGAAAACATTTCGATTGACAAATTAGTCGGTATTCTCAACACAGCAATTATAGGACTTGAACAGCGGAACTTTGTAACTAAACAAGAAATTATGTCTGTTTAATAGAATTAAAGAGAAAGTATTATCACATGAAACGAAGCAACTTACACTGAAAGAAATGTTTAATAAAGTAAACAAATAAATATTAAGCTTTCTCTTTTTGTAAATTTTGATACCCTTTAGATCATAATTGTTCTTTATTTCATAAATTACGGTTTCATATTTTTAATTTTGTAATTTCTGCATGCCATCTTACCAGATTTAAACTGATAATCTATAATCCAGAATCACCGATGTCCCGACGAGTTCGGATTAACGAATTTTGACTGTATTCAAAACAATACTATGCAAAATGTAAAAACATGAGTAAATGCATTCGATGTTAAAACGGAATACGTGAATAAGTTTGAGAACAGCTGCAAATTTTCCCAAATAAATATAAAAATCAAAAAGATATAAAACTATTATTAAACATTATATAAAGTTATTTAAAATCACTTAGAATAGCAAAATAAACCACTTACATAACACTATTAGCAAAATATATATCCACAAAGTACACGACCATGGATTCACAACCACATACTACCACAAAAACACATTGACCATCTGGAATGGATCACGTGACTTTTGCACTTCAAGGCTATTATAGAGTTGGCTGTGGTACGTACTTATTGTTTTAAGTGTTGCCAGGTATTTCATAGATGTTACACATTTCACAGAAATCCAGATTTCAGAGATATTGCATATACCTGTGACTGTGAACAAAATACTTGAAAAAAATGTAAAGAAATGTGTACATTCCTGATTTTTATTATTTATAGCACCTAGCTTTAACTATTTTCCTTCAATAAATAAATGTAAATTTTGAATAATTACAAATTAAATAATTTTAATTATGCAAATTTTACTATTTGTTTGTATGGTGAGAAAATCTAGATGCAAATACCCAGTGAAAAAGTGAGAAAACAAAAGATAAGGATAAAAATTTTTTAAAAAAATTTCAGGATTAGAATTAAAAAATTCTGCAATTTTTTATTTCATCCATTACTAGTCCTTCAGAGGAAAACATATATGCTACATATCATTTAAAAAAGATTTTTATAAATTTCAAATTAATCTTTAGCTAATAATTAAACAGATATAAAATCAGAATTACCTTCATCAAGCATTTTTAAGATTGTTTCAGGGCATTCCAATACATCATTTTCACCTTTAAAATAGCCACTTGCAGACAAGAATTTTAATACTTTTGTAGAATCCCAAAATTGAGAGCCAGAACTTAGAGCTTCCTTTGAAACTCTATTTAAATTGTTGTCCAGCAACTGCAGAGTCTTCTTGGATACAGAAGATCGTTCATATAAAATCTAAATTTGAAAAATTGTAAATTGAATGTTTTTATTCACACTTCTTAAACATTTTTTATTCCTTAAAAAAGAAATTAAAATTGTGAATTTTTTATTTATTTATATGTAATATAATACTAAAACAAGCACAAAATTTATTCACATTTTGTAATTTTATCAGTAGTCATAATTTATACGAATTCCACATAAACAAGAATATTTGAACTGGAAACAATTTATACATATAATATTCATTACATTTTCCTATCCCCATTCCTAAAACCCATAGTAACAAATTCAAAACATACACGCTAACCTCACCATTAGCAATAGGCAAAATCTGATCTTTATTTAGCATTACTTTTGATTAAAAAATATTTTAAAAATCATTCGTTTATTTATAAAAATACTAGTCATATGTGTCATAAATAAATTGTAATAATTCATATATAGGTTGTTCATATCAGGCATAACATCACCATTCGTGCTAGGTGGTAAAGTTCACAACAACGCTGGAGGGGAAATATCTGATTTTTCATCATTTGAGTAAAGTTGCCTAACAAAGAGCATGCAGTGCTATACAAACAGTGAAATGGCAGAGATACATTTAGAGCACGTATTGGCTGATGGCAACATGTGAGCAATTCAATGTCTGTATCGAGAACAGTTCCCCAAAAAGATGTACTGGACCACCATTTTTTTCGAATGTGCATCAGAATTTGCATAAGTAGTCTGCATTGTGAAGGCAGGTCATGAATTACTCATGTGCCCTCCATGGAATATAATGTGTTGGATGCTGCAGAGAGGATTCCAAGTAACATCACTGCTGCTGTATACTTTGCGTTTTGCAAGCCAAATCCTCATACTCATATCATCTCCAAAGGGTATCTGCTCCTTACAGACCATCCTGAACATATACATTTTGCAAAATGATATCTCCACCCAAACAATACTTATAGGCTCACGTGCATTCCCATGAAGTGAAACTGCATGATACTCAGCATTGTATCTCAGTGAGTGTTGTGACTCAAATATTTGGGCTTCTCAATGAATGTCTGGGCGTCTCAGTGAACTGGTGGACTCTGTGTAGTTTGGTTGGCAACTGTGGAAAAAAGTCCAATGATTCTTCAAGGGAAGTCTTTTGAAAATTTTCTCTCTTTTATCACAAAATATTAAAATATAAAAATTTTTGTGTATTATTTAATTTTTGTGTATTATTTTTTGTATTTTTATTTCAGTACATTCAATTGACAATATTAAAAAATTAATTTTTAATATTGATGTAAATATATGAAAATGAAAGCCAATTCCTGAAGAAACAGGTGTATGATGACTGAGTGACGATGCATAAGATGTTGGTAGTTGTAGTACCTGATTTAAAATTTTTTATACTTGAAAAGCACATCCTTAATACGTATTGCTCAATGCAATAAGTGCAATCTGAACACTCATTCTTGACCATATTTTCACTTTTTCTATATCTTTACAACAATTAATTTCAATGGGGGAAAGAGGAATATAGCAAACTGGCAGGAAAGAGATGTGACAAGGAATGCAGTTTTCAAGATGAAACCCTGGTTCAGAATAAATTAGTTTTGCTTTGGATTCATTTTGATTGGTTGCTCATAGTTTCAGTTTACAAAATCTGAAATTATTATGGGTTGAAGCATTATGTATCAATTTTAAAATGAGGAGAATCAATTTTGAAATGATGCAGTTTAAAGAGACTTATTATGAGCAAGTTACTGTTTTAAGACAGATAATGTAAACAAATTAAGAATAACAAAATTAAGAAGGGACTCTAGCCAATTAAATTTAGTATTTTATCTTATTTATTATGTGCATGTATATATAATCTGGATAACTGATTCTTTCCATCATTAATGACCAATATGATTGTCTCTAATAACGAATTGCATAACTATGGAACTATCTTGAATATAGAATGTATTAAATGACATTTTATTTCAAGTGTACATAAACTTTGTCAAACCAATCTGAACTTGTGGAAGACAAAACGCAAAAATAAAATTTTCATGTTCTCACACACTTTGAAAATGGTGTTCATTTTTCTAACACTTTCCACAGTTTGAAGAAACATATGAAACATGTCTAAGTTGTGACTTTGGCAACTTTTTCACCAACATTTAAATCCCCCCTTCATCATATATTTATTTACAGTAATTTCAATATTTTGAGAATATTATCTATTTTCAACCTGAAAATTTACCTCTCCCTTTAAAGATTATTCCTACTTCCATGCTTCTGCTTATCTGCATAGGTTTCAAAACCTTTCTGTTCGAAATGCTTTAAATTCTTTTTTTTATCTCAGGGTAAATATAAAGGAATCCCATGATTCAAAAAGCTTTAAGCATATGAAGCAGTAAATTTTGCTTCTTCAAAATTTTCAATAATTTTCAAAAATGTTTTAAAGGTCTTTCTCCTTACCTTTTTATTATTTCATAAGACTTATTGATATCTTATATGAAATTCTGGAATGTTACTAAATAAGCAAAAATTTCAATAATTTTCAAAACCCTTTAAAAGTTTTTCCTCCTTCCCTTTTTATTATTTCATGGGACTTTACGATACCTTATATGAAATTCCGGAATGTTACTAAATGCAAAATAATCCAATACAACTTATTTGATAGAAATTCAAAATATTTTACCTCAGATGGAGGGTATAGTGCAATCAAAGTCATAAGTCTTGAACCATGCCTATCATCCATAAACTGACCTAACTAAAAATATTAAAATACATAAATTAGTCTAAAAAATATCAAATAGTTTAAATCTCACTATACATTTAAAGTATCACAAGCCAATTTTTTTTTTAACAACTTTTCTTTACACATGCAAATAAAACTCAGAAGATATTACACATACAAATTTTATTTCAAAAGTTTGCAGTTAATAAAACAAATGCAGCATATATATTTTAATAGATAACAGTCATACTTACTGAAAACTTTCCTATTGTAACATCAATAAAACAAACACCATATTCAGATGCACCACCTTCTCCTTCATCATACTGAAAACAAATATATATCTATATCACTGAAATAAATAGCATAAAATAGTTTTCTATGATAACATTTATCAATATTTAATTCATAAATCATTAATCATTAAATTCATTAATCATAAAATTTGTTAAGTTTCTCCTCTTATGCATTGGACACAGAAAATAAGTTGTCTAAACTCAAAATTTTGGCAAGTATATAAACAAATATTAAGAAAAAGAACAGACACGCAAGTAAGGATAGATACTTTTAAATGTACATTTATATATTAGTTATACTATTACTTTCAAATATGAAAAATTCATTTCTTCGGTCCACTAAAAAAATTTGTGGAGGGAATTCAATTCAAATCAGCAGGTCATTATTGACAGTGTGCAAAAATAAGCCAACATGCCATCAGAACACATTTGTTATTTTGGAATTAAGAAACTTCTTGAATGGTGATATTACAGTGTCTGGTGATAACAGAGAAAAAAAAATTAGCTGAAAAACTTTTGCCTACGTTTGGATATCATTTGTGTATGTTATTTATCAATGTTGCAAAAAATAACAAAGCACATTGATAATTTCAATAAATAGAGCCATTTAATTAAAATGAAGACCCTGCTTTTGTATCAAAAGTATTTAGATGCAAAATGAAAATCTTTCAAATCAAAAAGTGGTTTAATAATTAGCGAAGAAATCAGAAGACACCAGTTTTTAGTTACATTGGCAAGGTGTTTGCCATTTGTCAAAGAAAATTAGGAAAGAATGAACCCAGGAGTTCTACAATAAATGCCAACTATACTACTCAGATTTCATTTACTTTCCATCAATGAGTGCTAACTGTAACTCAGAAAATTACAATCTTTTGAGGGTTGATTCAAACACTGAGAACTATTAAAGAATGAGTGTTTGGAATATCAGTTCTCCAAAAGCTATTTACAAGTGGCAGGTATAAAACCATTACCACTGAGATTTCCTACTTCCATAAAATAATTATTGTTGAAATAACACTGTAAGATTAAATAATATAACTGTACATAAATCATCATTTAACACCTTTTGTTAAATATATATAACACTTTATGTATTTAATATTTTATAATATATTACTTTAAAATACATATTTTAAAATTCATGTTGAATAATATTTAAATGCATATCAAATTTATTCATGTAATTTATTATCAGCTTATGATAGCTTACAATTTTCCAATATTTAAAGATAATTATCAATTTAAAATTAATTCCTTATTAAAAAAAAAGATAGAGGCATGAAATATTTGGAAGAAAATAAAATCACACCTTTTCACATATAGCTAACAAATAATTATTATTAGCTGCCATAGGTTCACTCTGATATGTCAGAGTTCTAGTGCCTTTAGTTGTTATCTGACAAATTTCACGAGCCACCACTTTATCAAATTTTGTTGGTCGGTGCACTAAAATTTACAAGAAACAAAAATAATTACAATGTAAAACAAACAATACATTTGCATGTAGTCTAAGCAAAGCATTTCAGAAATAAAAATAAATAATTCCAGTATGAATCAATTGTTTGTGTTGCCAAATAAAACAAACCTAAGTAATATATTTTTACATTTATAATATAAGAATCAAGACATAAAATGTTTGTAAAAAATGTAGCACATTTATAAAAGGCACATAAATCCTCAGTTAGATTTCTTATAAAAAGAAACTGCAGAAACGTATAAAAATTGTTTTTTTTTGGGGGGGAGGGTAATTTTTCCAATAGATTCTTAAAAAAGAAGAGAGAGAGAGAGAATTGGATCAGCAATTTTAAGAAAAACATGTTTCATAAGAACTTGAGAAATATCAAATTAAAATATAAAATAAATATTTCATGCATTTTTGGATAAATAAAAGTTGCTAGTATCTTACATTTAGTATGGTAAATATCTACAGGGATTGAAAGAAAATCACATATCATTATCATAAAAAGTTCATGCATCACTTGGTTGCTTTCTGATCACAGCCAACTGATAATTTTTGTCAGATAGTGGTGTGCTAAATTTAAGTTCATAAAAGTCTCTATAATGATACAGAGTGACTTTCATGGATGAAATTCAGCCTGTTATTTCTCCACAAATTATTAAATCATACATAAACCTTAATATTCTTGATAATTTACAGAAATTAACAGTGTAGTTACATTACAAAACAGTATTGTCTCTTCTACCACAGAACAGCTAGCTATCCCACATAGTATATGCAGGACTGATATTTTGAAAATGAAGTGGAACTGTTGAACATGACCCTTTAAAAGAGTGAATACAATCTAATATCACACCTGAGACGAACTGCAGTCATAATGACCATTCTCATTCCTAGCAATAGGTTTTCAGGACAAATAGTCAACCTACTGAGAATTAGCAGATGATTTACCTTCATGCAGATATCTGCTAATATAGAAGCTGAAGAAGGATTGACTAATTATTGCCTGATGAATAAAATACATTTTCTTTAAAAACTTTATGTTACATAAATAGTTTTTTATAACACAGTGCATAATCTTATAGTTCCGAAAAGATTTCTCCCTTTAAAGGAAGGGAGGAGAAAGAAATGAAATAAATAAATAAAAATAATATTTTTGTATGCAAATGATAAAAACCTAAGCACATCTGCAATTCAAACTCAGTTAATACAACAATATTAAATGCAAGGCACAATATAAATATTTTCTAATACAAAGAGCATAAAAAATACAAGTATATTTGACATTGTTAAAATGAATGAATGAAAAAATATTGCACAAAAACAAATATTGAAATGGCAAATGGCAAAACAAAATGACTATTGTATCATTGAAAAAACAAATGGCAAAATGACTATTGTATCTATGGCCGAGTTCTCATCCGAGTCATTAACTAGTGAATTTCATAAGAAGCAGTTGCTAAATTAACAGACTGATGATTAAATTCATATTCCCATCTCAGACACTAGTTCTGGTCCTTACCACTGCTCACTGCATTAAAAAATCAGAGACTCATCTCAGACACTAGTTCTAGTCCTTACCACTGCTCACTGAATTAAAAATCATTATGACTAATCTATCAGGAGAGAACATGAGAGGTCTTAGTTAGATATAAAGCTATATGAAGTACTCCAAATCAAGGACCTAGGATTGTTTAACTTTTCTTTTCACAACGTATAAAGATAATTACTTAATTTTATATATCACTATTAACATAGAAACATTATAATTAAAAAGATTAAAGATTAAGACAAAATAACATGCCGAACAAATACTAAGTCAGAAGTCAAACAACAAAAATCAGCGTTATATTTTCAAATTTTCACAGGATTAGTTTCAATAATTTTTACCGAACCACCATCCTCAGCTGCAAAACCACGAATGAACAAGATAGAAAATAATGATAAGATAAGAAAGCCTGGACTAGAATAAGCAAGTGGCGCCATCTGTTGGTGAAACCGGAACTAAAACATAAATTTTTTAAAGGCCGAAGGCAAAGATGGATTGGAATTAGGATCGTTAACTAGAACAGAAAGATTTTTTTGAATGTGAAATGCCTCTAGAAAATCCAGTTCTCCAATGTAAGATGTTTTTTGAATAATTTTGGCAGCAGAAAAATTTAAAGTGTGATTTTCGGACCAACGATGTTGAGCAACAGAAGACTTCTGTGTTTCCTTTTTTCTAACATATGCCTCATGTTCCTTGACATGAAAATTTTAAGGCTCTCTTAGTTTGGCCAATGTAAATTAAACCACACTAGCAAGGAATCCTATAAATACAGGTGAGTATGTTGCAAGAAGAGATAAGTAGAAAATGTGCACAGTTAAAAAAAAATCACCACAGCAAAAAGGACATGATGTTAATTTGGAATTTCACGCAGCAATAAGAAAAACACAAGCAGCAGATAAGATGCACCAAATTTATGAAAAATAAATTTAGCAGCAAATTATACTGTCTAACTTTTTAACGTCTCTATGATACGATAATCAATTATACATTTTGAGCAAATTCTGCTGTCTAGCCTTTAACAGTACATTTTTAAGTGTATAATGAAATATGAATATTCTAGGTAATTTCTTAAAGAATTTTTATAATTTAATGAAAATATTTGAATAAAATACGAACAATTGTGAAAACAATGTTCAAAATTCTAACTTGCATATCAAATATTCATTTCAGCTATTGCCCTTGGTAAACTATGAGTTTTAAAACATTATATATATAAAGGACGCATTAAATATTCTTCGAAATAAATTTAATTATTCTGATTTGCATGTCCATATAAAGTAAACAAATGCTTAAATTTCATATAATTTGAGATAATTTTTTTTTAATAAAAAGCATATTCTGATAAGTGCTTCTTAAGCTCTGAATACTTTCTTGCAAAAAAGTGTTACATAAGAATTTCTATAAAACAGCATTCCCATAAATAACACATCAACGATTTTATTTACAAGGACAGTTATTTAATTTAAAGCTATCTGAAGATCTTCTAAAAATTAATAGTTTGATAACTAAATTTAAACATCATATTTAATGACTGATATGATGGGAGTACCAAAATAGCAAATTAAATTATTCATGATGTCAAAACACTGCATGATTCATTAAACCTTATCTAATGCTGCTGTTAAAACAAAGTGAATTAGGAACTTAGTTATATCTACTTAAACATGGTTTCATTAATAGAAAAGCTTAAAATTTACTTTCAGTGCTTTAAATGAGCAGTTTACCTGAACTTTAAATGAGGTATTTTTTCACTAGCTTTAATGCAATTTAAAGGTTTCCCTAAAATTAATGCAAATTTTACAATATTTCATTTAAGGAATCAAAGAGAATAATAAAACATTTATTTCAGTTTAGCAACTTACAACTTTTGCAACGTTCTTCCATCATTTGAGGTGTTTCAGTTTGTTCCACTCTTGCTACTTTGTACCCCTTTTCAATTAAGCATTCAGAATATCTACCAAATGCAATTTCTGGAAAACCAGAATGAGCAAAGTCACCCTAAAAATGATAAATAATCTACTTTGATCAAAATTACAAATTTTTAATTAAAAAAAATTAACTTTTTATTTAACACATAGCTTCAAACACAAAATTAACTTCTCTAATCTTTTTCTGTAGGAAAAAAAAATAGCAATAACTTATGCAGCCTATTATTTTTATGCACAAAAAATGCATTATCAATGTTTAGGAATTAAGTTCTACCTTCATAAAGACTAATCCTAGTTCCTTGACTCCTACAACAGCATCCATGTGGTACAATTCATAAAATTTTCCAACCTGAAAAGCATTAAAAAAATTTATCTAAGAAATATATCTTATGTAGACAGTTTATTTATAATTAGTATTAAATGCAGTTTTATAACTTGAATATTCATATAAAATAGGCATATAAATTACCTTGAAGAAAAGGACAGTATCAAAATGGTCCGATTTCATATCCCACCATTGCTTCATTGCCTGTTTAACAAAATGCACATAAGCATATGTCAACAGAAAAAAGATGCAACTTTCAAAAACATGAAAAGAGAATTATTATTTAAGTATATCAACCATTTATGATTTATCAAATATAAAATCATTACATCAATCAGTGCTTTACCAAATCAGTGCTAGACTCTAAATGGTACCAATTTAGTTAAAACCAAACCAACCAACTTACTTACCAACTTAGTTTAACAAATGATTATGACATCTGATATTAAGTTATTCATAATTAATATAATTTTTATTAGTAAGAACTCATAAACATTTAATATATGAAAATTTGATAAAAATTGTTAATGTTTTTGTAATGTAATACATCAAAATACTTTTAAAATTTCACAAAATGATTTTTATGCATAATATTTCTTTATAACAACAATACTTCTGTTATGAATTTAACAGAGACGTGGTTTTAGCATTCTTATACTATTTATGCATTTAAGTTACATAAATACTTACAGGAGTTAAATTTTTCTTAAAGCTATCAGGAACAAACAATGTCCGAGGATTGTAGTCTGGATGTGACTTTGGCTTACCAGATTTGTCCCTAAAGAAAACAGAATCAGAACAAAAGTTAAAATTTTAACAGAATTCTTAATTGTCATTTCTTGCAACTGTATTGCTTAATTTATACTGAAATGATATTTTTCACGCTAATAGTTGAGACATTCATAGACATTCATTTTCCTTGGCAAAATGAACAAAAACTTTATTGCCGTATGTATATATCTTGCATTCTACAAAATTCCCCTTCAACTTAAGCATTAATTGTAATACAGTCAAAAGTCGTTAATTCGGACACCCATTATCCGGAATGATCTATAATCCGGACCTCAAAGGTAAAAACTTTCTGCGCATGCGCCGTTAGCACATGCGCACAGGCGTTTTACGCGTGCGCGTAAGACCTTGACTACTGCGCATATGCGTGTGCGCAAGTGCAGAATACGTCGCCTGCGCGTTTAATGTATAAAGGACGGTGTAAGCTAAAATTATCTAATTATCTATTTCACTTAATGTTAATGATTGCGTTGTTTCTTAATCTTCGAATTGGATCCCGCTTATTATTTTTTGCAGACTGTAAGAGCAATTTTATAAAAGTAAACTTGAACTTTCGATTATGTCAAATAGAATTTCCGATGCTGGAACTTCCAAAGGATCTACAAAACGAAAGTATGTTTCGATGTCCAACAAACAAAAAGTGGAATTGCTGCAAAAAAATGGATAAAGACATGAAGAATGTGACAGAGAGGTTAGTGAAAACGAAAAAAATTCGATTGACAAGTTAGTCGGTATTCTCGGCACAGCAATTAACGGGACTTGAACAGCGGAACTTAGTAACTGAACAAGAAATTATATCTGTTTATAGAATTAAAGAGAAAGTATTATCACATAAAATGAAGCAACTTAAACAACTTACATTGAAAGAAATGTTTAATAAAGTAAACAAATAAATATTAAGCTTTTTTTTTTTTAAATTTTGATACCCTTTAGATCATAATTGTTCTTTATTTCATAAATTACGATTTCATATTTTTAATTTTAGAATTTCTGCATGCCATCTTACGAGATTTAAACTGATGATCTATAATCCGGAAAAATCGATAATCCGGAATCGCCGAAGTCCCGACTAGTCCGGATTAATGACTTTTGACTGTATAGCAAGTTTTTTTTTTTTTTTTTTTTTTTTTTTTTTTTAAGCTTATATCAAAACTGGCATCTGTTCAAGTTTGAATAGACACTTTTCTCTGCCTCTGAATGATAACACGAAAATGAGTAGAAGCTCTGTCTAGATTGGGATGATCCATTGCCATTAGACTTTGAGAATGGAATGAGAAAAATGGGGTAATGAATTATCAGCAATTCAGAATATAAACATTCCATGACATTACTTCCAAAATACTAGTAAGTCTGAACTGAGAGATGTTCAAATGCATTGCTTCACCAACCTAAGTCAGAAGGCATATGGAGCTCAGATATATCTGCAAAACATCACAAAGCACATTGAAATAAAAAAATGGGTTTGTAATTTCCAAAACCAGAGTAGCTCCATTTAAGAAATTGTCTCTTCTAAGACAAGAATTGATGAGAGAACTCATCAGAACAAGATTAGCCTCAAATGTCAAAGAACAGACAAAGATGAGGATCTATATGAATGTGCACTTCTGGGCAGATTCTTCTGTGATGTTACACTGGATAGAGGTTCAATTTGAATAAATGAAAGCCATTCATTACTGTCCTGGAGATAAAAATCCTGCTGATATGCTGACCAGAAATACAAAGACAAAATCTATCAAAGGAATCATTTTAGCTGATATACTAACCAGAAGAACGAAGACAAAATCCATCAAAGGAACAATTTTACCTGAACTATGAAATAGTGATACATGGTGGTATAGACCTAAGTTGTTATTACAGAATATTTATTCATGGCCCAAAACTGGCAGAATCAGTAAAGGAGTTTGAAGATAAAGAAAAGCTTGAATTTCGAAAGGGAGCTTAGTAAACGCAACAGTCACAGGTAAAAGTTCCATCGCGAACAAATTCATCAAAAAATAGTCATCATTTATAGTAATAATTAATAAATTTATTATAATTACTGCATGGCATTTATAGTTTATGAACAATAGTAAAACCAATCTACCATTAAGAAAAGAAAGTTATTCGAGTGCATCTGAAATGCAGAATGCAACAAAAGTGATAGTCATATATGAGTACAATAGTCTGAGTTTCAATTTGAAATTAGATGCCTGCTATTGAAACAACCTGTTCCAAGCAACACTAAGGTTTTATTTTATGTATTTCTTGACAGAGATGAACTTCTACAAAGATTAAGTCTCTCCAATCTTAGAGAAGTTCAGAAACATCCTTTTATCCAAAAGACATCATTTCACTGAATTACTCATAGATTATTATAAAAAAAAAAAAAAAAACTTCATTTACGCATTTAAACACCACTTTTTCTTATTACACAATTATAGATAGCTTTCAGACTAGACAGAGTTAGACAGGTTATAAATAAATGCATGATTTGCTTTTGGGGAGGGGGACTATAAACCAAATGATTGGAGATAGAGTAATAAAAACTAGATTATTTGAAAAATAAGGCTAGACATTACAGGATCAGTTATTACCAAACCTAATTCGAAAAGATCTAGAGTTACTTTAAAATCATACATCACAATATTTATATGTTTTAGTAAAAAAGCAGAAGGCATTTAGAAATAGTATCAGATTTGTCTACTGAAGCATTTCTATCATATCTTGGAAGAATTAGTGCCATACACTCCAAACCCTTCATTGTTTGAAGTGATAATGTTACAAACTTCAAGGGAGTGAAAAATGTTCTTGATAACATACTCAGAATTTGCACATTGGAGAGTGTTCAATATTTTAGTTCTGAAGAAGGAATTACGTGACACTTTATTCCTCCGTCTTCCTCATATTTTGGTGAATTGTGAGAGGCTAATATGAAACCAATGAAGAGAATTTTGATAAAGGTCATAAAAACAATAATTTTAAGCTCAAAGAGCTTTATGGATTAATTACACAAATAGAAGCTACTTTGAACTCTCCACCACTATTACCTATTTTTGGTGAACCAACGGAGGATGGAACCAACTTCCTATTAGGAATCATCAGGGAATGCACATTCCTGCACTCTCTACCACTTGGCAAAATGGCATATTTCTAAAAAAAAATGCAAAGCTTTCTTTTTCATTAACAGGCAAACTACACAGTGGCATTAGGATTCATTACAAGGGAAATAAAAAAAAAAAAATTCCACACATTTATCAAAACAAACAGAAACCACAAACATAATTCTCAAATACCAAAACTGTGCACATCACCACCATCGAGACTGATGACTATATTATACGGTGGTGTATGTGCATGCAACTATTAGTGGGTCGCCAGATAAATATATTTTTGTAAAATTCTGGGTTGCCTACTTTGGTTGCACAGACATTACTTTATTTTGAAGCAGGAGACATGAAAAATGAAAATCATGGATTAAGGGACCCAACTGGCAAATCCTGGTGGTGAAGAATCATAATCCACCACTTTCTTTTAGTTCAGATGCCACTGTAAAGATATTAGGTTATTTCAAAGCAGGAGATGTGAAAAATGAGCAATGCTCTCGCCAGGAATCGAACCACGTACTTCTCAAATATGCGACGAGCGTGCTGACCACTACACCACAAAGGCACACTAAGAAGGAGGGAGAAATACCACAAAGGCATACTAAGAAGGCAGGTGACATAGTGCTTTGCCTGGTAATTCTTGTCGGGATTGGGCAGATAATGCAATAGTACCAAAAGACCTGATAAATAAACAATGAACTGTATTAGTAACTTCTTTTTATATACTTTATGTAAACTACAGAAATTCAAGTTCACTGTATTTTAGGCACGAAGGGTTCCCACCCCCTTCTTTTGATAAATTAATAAATGAGTTTATTTATTAATAAATGAGTTTATTATTCTTTTTAATAAGATCTGTGATCACAACTTGAAAAAGCAAATAGCTTAGATCAGGGGTCGCCAAACTTTTTTGATCATCGCCCCTTATATAATTTTTTGAAATCTCCATAGACCTCCACAAAGGTAATTTTCACGTAATTAAAATAAAACTATATATTAGTCTAAATATTTAATAAATCAGAAACAGTAAGTAAAGTAGCTACAGATTTTTTACTTCTTAATGAGATGAGTGTGCCTGGTGTTTCTTGGCAAGGTTCGCTATATTGGTTCGAAATTAGTCAATTTTAACCGTAAATCCCCTCGAAGCTCCACATTTAATTTTTCTGTTTTTAGTTAAAATTGAATTAATGTGACTGAAACCGGTTTTTCAACCACATACGAACTTGGAAACGCCAGCATAAATGGCCTGAGTCATTTTGTAAAGTTCACATATTTTTGCTTTATATTTATATTAGTCCAAAATTTATGTATTGTCAAATTTTTATAGCGTTTTTGCTTCAAGATCGGACAATAGTTCAGCAAGCTCATCTTGTATGTTGATGTCGACGTTATCAATTTGCGCCGAAAATGGCGCAATAATCCAATCAGGGATGTGATGTTTTCCAAATCAACAAATCGCAGTTTAAAATCGTCGCTTAAATTTTTGAAGATGATTTGTATATATTTCCAAGTCTTCTTCTTTTATTTTTAATTGTTGCAGATTTGAAAAATACTTATAATCCTTACGTAGCAATGAAGATCTAAATAAATTTAATTTTACTTGGAAGCCTAACAGTATTGCCCGAGATAGGATAATTGTTACATCTTTTCCTTGCAGTTTTGTTTGAACGTCATTAAATTTTCCAAATAAGTCAGCTAAATAAAAAATATGGTTCTTATTGTTTTGGAGTTCATTGCTTAGAACAGGATTTATTTCGTTCAGAAATTCTGTCGTGAAGTCAAATAAATTGATGAGCCCTTGCAAGCATACACCTCTAGACAACCATCTAACCTCGGTGTGCAGAAGTAATTTGTTAAATAACTCATTGTTTTCCTCACAACGTTTGGCAAATAATCTTGATTTAAGAGGTTGAGCTTTAATTTGATTAATAGATTTAATACAAAACTGTAAAACTTCATGTAACTCTGAACTCAGATATTTTGCTACTAAGTTGTGTCTATACACTTAGTAGCAAAATGAATAGTACGAATAGCACTATGAATAGTACGAATACCGGGCACTTTTTCTTTGAGGCATGTAGCAAAACCTCGGTAACGCCCTACCATAGAAGGTGCGCTATCTGTGGCTACTGCTATTATATTTTTAAGCGGAATGTCATATTTATTTAAATATTCTTGTAAACATCTAAAAATTGTCACTCCCTTCCCATCGGTTTCAAGATATTTAGCAAATAAAAATTCATCAATGACTTCTCCTTTAATTTTACTGAAATATCTAACATATGCCATAAAAATAGCAGAAACGCCAAAAACAGATTCATCAAGTTGTATAGAGAACTTGCAATTTTTTAGCTCCGAAACTACTGTGTTTTCTATTTCTTCGGCCATTTCGTCAATACGCCGTTTTACAGAATTTGCACTTAATGGCAAAGACTTTAAAACATTAGTAGAGTCTTTTTTCATCACATTCTCAATGACGTCTTTAATTTCAGGAACTACAATTTCTTCTGCGATTGTGTGGGGTTTCCCCTCTTTGCTATATTAAGCGAAATCTTGTACGAAGCAATTAATCCTCTTTCATTTTCAGTTTCAGTAGACTGTTTCATAAAACTTTTTAGAGTTGGTCAACATGTGAATTTTTCTTTGAGTTTTTTGAAAAATTCTAATTCTTCATTTTTTTTTTATCTGAATGAAGCCTTTCAAGATGATCTTTCATTTTTGACGGTTTCATGTATTCATTTCCAAAAGTTTTTTCGCATATAAGACACATAGGAATAGTTTCATTTGTCGGTGAACAAATAAATCCAAATTTTAATTAATCCAATGAATAATACCGACATTTCTTTTTAGATACTGAAGGTGTCATTTTTAAATTAGTGTTCTGTAAATAAGTTAAAATTAACTTGGTATATTATACTAATCCACATTATTAAAGCTTACCTTTTCACAAGTAACAATAATTAAAATTGATATCAAAATTAAACGAATAGTTTTATAGAAACAATAACTAATTATCCAATGGTAGATATAATAGTAGTAATAATGACACTACAAGCATTTAATACTGTTCACAGTTCACAAAGATAGCTGAAAATGCATATGATATTTACGTTTGTAGCATCCAGTGTAGAATTGGACAAGCGCACATATGCATCTGACTCATATGCAAGGCTCATATGGTTTGCGATGGAGACAAAGGGTGAACCAATGACACGATGCGTAACTGCCGTATAAAAAAGAAAAGAACTAAAAGAAACTAAAACCACACACATAAGAAGAAAAGAAAAGAAGTACGAGATTCCCTTCGCACTTAAGCATAGAAAGCCAACGGCAGTGTCGTCGCTCGCCAAGTCTGCGCCAAGGGCTCCTAATTGGTTGATGGGTTCGCCAGCAAGAGACACGGATAAGCCTCAATCGCTCTTCTGGCTACATACTATGAGTCGTGCAAATTACAAACTGGTCACAAGGTCAAGTTATGATGTCATGGTATACATACAAAAACCCATAAGGAAAAAAGGGGCAGACTGTTTCCTGATTTATTATTTTATTTTCTATAAAGAATATAATATTAAGTCAATTATAAAAATATTTTAAATATTTACATACGCAGTTAGATATGTGTGATTTGCGTATTAAGAACTGTTTTTCCTTCAAGTCCCAGACCCCTACTGTTGTTAAATAGACCCCCAGGGGTCTATATAGACCACTTTGGCGACCCCTGGCTTAGATAAAAGCCTCTCAGCTTTGGAACTGTATTTTGTTTTAGCCATAACAACATATGTAATTTTTATCAACAGAAAAAATAAATACGTTCTAGTTTGTCTTGAAATTACAATCACTTTATGCAAATACAAAAAAACTGTAATTAAAAGGCTTCGAAGGGGAAGTCAAGAACTTACTGCAGGAAGAAAAGCAGCATAAATATTTGCACTGCATTTATCTTTTACTTCGAATTAAATAATTCAGTTATTTAAAACTTAATCAGAATTAATACAGTCTAGAGCAATCTGAAAATTTTGCATTACAAATTTTAAAAAATGCTGTACAAAATTTTAATTTATTATTCATTATATCCTTTTGTCCTACATGAATAATTTAATGTTTATTCTTTCCAGTTATATAATTTAAATGAAGTAATATGTAGTTTTATTCTGATTAAAAATCATTCAACAGAAATTTTAAAATAAACATATGCCAGTCAGAAAGTTTGTTGCACTACTGCGTAAATACATTCCATGTAAAACTATTTGGATGACACTGTGTGACAACACTTCAGACATTACCTTTATCATAGACTTCAGACGTAGTGACTTTCCCAACGCAAGTTTTGTTTTTCTGGTAATCAGTCACAAACATGTCTTGACAGCTGCAAATAACGTCCAAATTGGAAATGCGTGCAGTGATTTGTTTTTTGTGGGCAAAAAGGTGCAACTGCACTAAAATTTACGGGCAGTTTCATGAAGTGTATGGTGAAAATGCAATGTCAAGTCAAGCTATCGCAAAATGGTGCAATATGTTTGAGAATGGACGTACAGATATTGACGACACTGAGCGTGAGGTTAGACCATCAACTGCAACAAATTCGGAAATCGCTGCTCGAGTGAATGAATGTATTCTTGCAAACAGACACATAATGATAAACAAAATCTCAAATGAACTGGATATTTCTCATGGAAGTGTGCATAAAGTTATTGCTGATCACCTTTAATTTCGTAAAGTTTGTGCTCAAAGGGTGCCACATCTATTGACGGAGGAACATAAAGGAAAACATTTTTAAAGTGCATTTGCATTTCTGCAATGTTAGCAAATGGAAGGAAATGAGTTCTTAGATAATATTGTGACCGAAGATGAAACTTGGATTCACCACTTCTTGCATGAAAAAAAAATGCAGCTCGCTCAAGTGGAAACATTGCAGTACCCCGACAAGAACAAAGCGTCGAACTGTTCCATCTGCAGGAAAGGTAATGATGATGCTGTTTTTCGACATAGAAGGTGTGGTGCACACAGAGTTCATGCCGAAGGGAGCCACAATTAATGCATCTTCTTATTGTAAAACACTAAAACGATTGTGAAAATCACTTAAAAATTGACGGCCACGTAAATTCTCAAAAGGCACTGTGCTCCTGCATGTCCATGCAAGACCGCATGCAGTAAAACAAACATGCGAACTTCTGAAAAATTTAGGTGGGAAGTGTGGAATCACTTTCCTTATAACCCAGACCCTTCACTTCCTGACTTCCATATGTTTGGTCCCATGAAACAAGAACTTTCAAAGTGACGGTACCGTTTGGATGCCGAAGTGAAAGCTGCAACCCAACAATGGTTATCGGACATTGGACGGGATTTCTTTGCAGAAGGCATCGAAAAACTTGTGCCACGGCTTGACAAATGCTTAAATAACGGAGGTAATTATGTTGAAAAGTAGATTTTGAATGGAATTTTTAGATATAAATAAAGTTACTGTAAAATTTTGCTCCTGTTTTGTTTTCTTAGGCAGTCGAACTAACTTTTTGACTGACCCTCATATTTAAGAAGAAAAAAAAAACTATAAGACTAACCTTATCTTATCATCATTTAACCAATCTAAAGTTTCATGTAGGTATTCCTTTAAATTATCTTCACTTTTACTGGATTCGTCATCATTTGTAGCTTCACAAGATTTCTAAAGCATAGAAATTTAAATTTAACAAGCATAGTACTAAATTTCAAAATTGCTGAGAATTAGCATGCATAAATTTTATATTTTTTATATGAATGTCAGAAAAGAAAATTTTGCTATCTAAAACTTCATATTACAATCTCAACAGCTTAAAAATTTTTTAATATTTTTTTCAAAAAATCAAGCATATAATTTGTTTCTTAACTTATAATATCTACTTAACAGGCAACTCAGAAAATTAAATCTTTAGGATTGAGTAAAGCTAAAACACAGAAAGTATTTAAATTTTAAAAACTGCTTGTTTCAGCAATTTTTTTAAAGCAAAATGACATAAGCAGAAAAATATCAAAATAATAAAAAAACATACTACCATTTGAACAAAGTTAAAAAAGAAATATTCATAAAGGATTGCTGTTTATATGCTACAGGAAAATTTTATTATAATCATTAGATTTTAATATGGATGCAGATGGCAGTATACACAAGAAGCAGAAATTTGCAATCAACCCACTATAGAGTGTTAGAAACTTATTTTATGACCTTTACAGTATAAAATAAAGCTTGTCACAAAATACTGTTAAGAAATCCGAATAAAACTACTTTCTAAAAGATTACACTTAGGCTACTTTGAACAATGCATGTTCAGAATATCAAATATATTGAAGGATCTTATGCAGCATTAAACAGCAACTGTTTTATGTATTAATGTCTTATTAAAACTGAAAAAAAAAAATTTAATAACACTGCCTAAACACCAGACAGAATCTAAGGACCAGATGAGACTTTTATGAGACAAAGTCTGCTGATTCTATCTAAATAGTTCATCTTTTTTCCAAAAAAATAAATGATCAAGTTTTTGAATTTGCACAGCTAAATTGCAGAAATTAGGCGATTTAAATTTTCTTCATTTCAACATATAAATCCATTAATGTTAACAAAAAAGAAGAATAGGATACAGTAGCTATAGCAGTTTTTTAAAATACTATCTCCAATTATAAATGGTACAACCAATGGAAGAATAAAACACTAGTATCACAACTCGAGGAAATTCAGAAAATATTTTCTTTAACCACTTAGCAGTTCAAGGAAGAACAATATAATTCAATAATTTTTAAAGCAAAAAATGCACAATTTACAAAAATATAAGAATTCTTAATTAAATTTTAATTTTATATTTGCTTTATACGAATAGAGAATATTTGTTAAATTCAAATTTCATTCCTTGCAGCAAGCATATTCACAAAGCCCACAGACCATTTCTTCTATGGTCTGCTCTCATTGGATGAAACATTTACTTGGCGGTCATATTTGGAATAGCCAGTTATCACCTTGTAGGCTTAGTAATTAACACCAAACCTATCTTGTGGGCTTTCAGTAACGCGAGGAGAAACAGCGTAATTCAATAAACATTCTGTAAACTTTTGATAATTTTTTATTTTATGAATGAAGGCTAAGGGGGATTGTGTGGAATATATTTTACACAACCTACTGGTCTTATTAATAGTTTATTTGCAGTTGGTTAAAGAATGAATTTAAGCTGTTAAAAGTACAATACAGTACAAAGTCTTTAATCTGGACGTCCATAATCCAGAGTGATCTATAATCCGAACCTCAACGTTACAAACTTTATGCGCATGCGCGTTTAATGCGAGCGTCCGCTACGCATGCACGTAAAGAGAAGAGAGAATTAAAGAGAAAGTATTAGCACAAAAAACGAAGCAACTCAAACAACTTACATTGAAAGAAATGTTTTATAAAGTAAACAAATAAATATTAAGCCTTTTTTTTTTTTTTTTTTTTCAAATTTTGATACCCTTTAGATCATCATTGCTCTTTATTTCATAAATTATGGTTTCATATTTTTAATTGTATAATTTCTGCATGCCATCTAACCTACTGATCTTATTAAACTCAGGATCTATAATCCGGAATCGCTGAAGTCCCGACGAGTCTGGATTACGTACTTTGTACTGTAATTGTTTTGCAAGAGAAAGTGTTTACATGAAAATGGCATATGTACTTTTTCGTCATTTCTGTTAGAAAGAGACTGTTGTGTAAATTTCCATAGCACACTAATTGATACAAAAAAAGAAATATTAAAAAAAATTAACCAAATGAAAACATTCAATAAACATTTAGAGCTTCGGATATTCTTTTTTAATTAAATTATAAAGAAGTATGACTAAAATTATATTTTATTCCATCATGTGCTATTTCAATTGTAATGCTTTTCGGGATTTTGGATCTTGGATCGTAATTTTGCCACTGCTACCTACTACAAAAAGCACAAACCAGTAAATAAAAATTAAAAAAAAAAAATAAAAAAAAAAAAAAATAAATAAAAACATTGACAAAAATTGAGAAAAATAAATAAAAATAAATGTTAAATGTGTTAAATTTTTAATACCGCACCCGAAGGTGAAAAGCCCAATAATAGCAAAGTCATTCAACAAAGTGAGGATAAAAATGAGTCAGTGCAGGACAGAGTTTGTAAAAGCCATGAGCGGGGATAAAACCTACAATCTAGAAGTCTGTGAATTTCTTCCGTACTCCGTACTGCTGAGATGCAGTTTCTGCGTTTACTTTTGCATGCTTTTCGGTACACCATGCTCATATACATATAGCAAAAGCGATGAAGCAAAAGTCGCCAAGCTCACGATTTTCTAATCCTACGTTTCCTGTTTTAAACCAATCGGAGCAAGCAGTAGAAGAAACGGTCTGTAGGCTTTGTGAATATGCTTGCAGCAATGGCGCAAGAGAATTATTTAATTAAATCTAACTTTACTATTTTCTTGTGAAACAAATATATATAATACATATATTTATATACTTTTGGTGTAGGCAAATGCAACCAAAAACGGAGGTGCACATCTACATGTTATAGCAGTCCCACATACAAAATTTCAACATTTTGAGAGTATTCATTTTTTAGTTATGCAAGATACGCACAGATGTACGTACAGACGCCATGAAAAAATCTCTTCTGAATCCATTTTAAATCAATTTTAAAATTTGTTTGGGGAAAAGGAGTTCTTTATTTTGTCCTTATGCAGAAATGTCATGCAAAAACATCATTAAATTGCCTTCGATAGCAGTCAAAATGGATATTTTCATTGAAATATGGTACCCGAAATTTTTCACGATTACAATACTTCCTTTACTTCGAACAAAGAAGTAAAAAACAGTCCCCATAATGTTCGCCCACCATTTATTATTATTTTTTTATAGTCGAAATTGTAAGAAAACTGCATTAATGTACAAAATAGGAGCGAAAATTCATTTATTAGTCCAAATTAATTATAAAGAGAGAATTATAAAAATTAGCATTATCCCTTTAATGTTGGCTTTTTAGCCCAGGCTGGCATAAATAACACACTTTTTTTCCATAACTTGACATTTCATATGTATTGCAAATCTTGAAATTTCTAGATGCAAGTTAATATTTCAACTCGGTATGATATATTTTAACCAGTACAATACAAAGTCTCATATTACAGTCCTGGCAATAATATTTTGTTTCTTTATAGTCACTGTTACTACTGTCAGAATCACCCATTTTTGGTTCACACAATTTAAGAAATTTCGAAACTAGATAAAATAAAATTTGAAAGCTTAGTTATTAATTTTTCATAATAAGCTAATAAAAGTACAATAATTTTCTTCAAAGTTTATTTAAACAATACTTTCATGAACTTTAATATGCAATACCCAAAGGAAAGTGCATGTTCCACACCAAATCAAAGCATTAAAAAAAAAATAAAAAAAAAAAAAAAAAGGAGGGAGTTTATTTTACAGACAGTAATGCCATCTATGAATCAAAAAGTAAACTAAAACATATTATATGTGATAATCAGAAACATGAGGTTTGAAAATGTGATGTCCATACCACATACAGGCAAATTAAGCTGAAAAAACATTACTCATATGAGGTATGGATAAAACTGCTAAAAGTGGGAAAAGCTCATACAGGAAAAAGCTAAAGTATATTCACAATAAAAAGATAACCATAAGGAATAGAATTCCTTATTTTTTTTTAACATAGCAAAACTTGGTTAATGGTAAAAAATAGGTAAATGTTATACAACTGTAGATGGTCAGCTTGATAGCTATTTTAATTCAAAACATTCTGAATAATAATAATATTCTGCAGGATAAAAACAATACAAAGAATAAAAGGTACTATTCCGTTTTGAGGACCGTAAAAATTTTCAGCGAAAATGTATGCGCAAAAGCGCCAAATCTAGCGTACGCGCTGATTTCAGATTGCGTAAGTTTATATAGTTCTATATTTCTTAAGACGCCATTGAAATACTAGTTTAATTTTTAAATCCTTTTTTGATTTTAAATCCTTTTTTATATCCTATGGTTTTAACAATTTGGGAATTGCCCACCACGAAAATTCGGCAATAGAATTTTGGGTAAAGTGCAGAATCACTCACTGTTTGACGCGTTTATAAGAATTGCACATACTCGGTATCCATGTGCACATCGATCCATTTTCACTTTAAAAAAAATCCCAGAATTGCACAAAAATGGCACTGCGCACTCCCTTGACTTTATTTATGTACACATCGACCTATTTTCACTTAAAAAGTAAAAGAAAATTGACAAAATTCAATTGTTTTTACCCTTGTAAAAAGCGGCAAACAAATAAGTGAGCGATTCTGCACTTTACCGAGAATATTTTCAAAGAAAAGGCATTATTCATTATATCAAATTACGTTTGAACAACCAAAGAGATGAAATTATGCTTTAGCGATAAGTCGGTAGCGAAATAGCGATGCAGGCATCCATTCAGTTATGTTTAGCAATTTTTATATAAATTATAGTAATGATCTGAAATAGTTATTTACTCTTATGCTTCCATTCAGTCATGTTTAGCCTTTTTCATATAAATTATAAAAATAAAAAACTACTATTATATGAAATTAACCTTTCATCTAAATTAAAGCATCAATCTTAGATAGTTATTTACTATTATACTTCCTTTCTTGCCGCAATTATTAGGGTTGCCGCAATTATTTTGGGCAGCATTGGCATCAACAATAGTTTGGCGATTTTTTACGGCCCTCCAAACCGAATAGTACCGAATAAAATTGCAGGTACTTCCTTGTCAAAGTGACTGGTACATAAACCCTTGGTGATATTTGCAGGCAGCGAACTGAGCAATTTAGTCAGCTAATTTTGATTATCAAGTGCAATGGGCCACTTTAGCGAGAAAGTACTAAACTGCAACATAGCAGATTTTAAATTAATATTTATATAAAAATATACCTGTTTAGACACATTAGTAGAAAGTTTTCTTGAACTCCCAGATGCAGGTGTTACTGGTAGAGTGCTTCTAGGACTATTGAGAGAGAGAGTTTTAGGTGAAGAAGAATTAGGTGAAGCTTTAGGGCTCTTGACGGAAGCCAAAGATGGTGATAACAATGTTGTCTTCTTCATTGTTTTTCTCTTCTAAATTAAAATGAACAATTGTCCTTACAGTAGGCTGAACATTTATGGTGATTACAAGAATATAAAATAGCAGCTCAAAATTAATCTTTAAGAACTGTCTATGCGCATATATTATAATAATAATCTTCAAAAAAATATACAGTGTCAAAAATAAAATTTGCATGTACTCTTTTGATTTCATAATGAAGGATGCTAGAGTATACAGACTGGCTTTATCTTTAATTAAACAGACATACATATCAAATGAAAACCATACATCAGCCATAGCAAAATACTAAGAAAATTATCAAATCTCCCTACACAAAGAAAGAGAACAAATGAGACAAAGAAATGAGACAGAAGAAAATGGTCCTTAGAAAACACAACAACATTTGACCTCCAATAAAGGGCTCAGGTACAATAGAGGGTTTAAATACAGTGAGCAGAAGCAGAAAGAAAAGACTTTCATTGCATCACAAGTCTCACACAAGAATAGAGGTTTGCTCTGCAGAAATCCAAGACCTGCAGAATAACATCAAGAAAAGCCATGCATATTTTAATCAGCACCCTGAATAAAAATTTTATGCATTAAAAATTGCATATTTGTGCAATGACAGACAAGAGATATCCATCATCAGATAAATTTATGTATTGAACAGCAAAATGGAGCGATCATTTCCAACATTCTTCAAAACATTGTTGTTGTTCACATCTGTTGTTATTTGCAATCTTACAGATTAATACTATACACCTAAATCAAATAAATCAGCAATATAACAAACAGCAATAAATCAAATTTAATCAGCAATAAATCAAAAAGCATCAAAAATGATTTGTATAATATAATTCTCAATAAGAATTTTAAGTGTGCAAATGCTTTAGCTGAAAAGAAGGCTTATGAAACTATGTTATATATTATGGCACAGAAGACTAGAACATCTTAGTTATAAAACTATGAAGGAACTTGCTTCATTATGGAGATTTCTGATGATTATCTGAAGGATGATTCTGTTTGTGAAATCTGTTTGTAAGCTAGACAATGAAGATAGCCTTTTAATTCTCAAAGAATGAGAGTTAAGAAACCTTTGGCTTTAATTCATACTGATGAGTATGGGCCTGTTGACCCAGTAAAATGGGATAAGATAAAATATTTTATAACTTTTCTTGATGATTACACATATTTTACAATGGCATATTTGACAGAAGGTAAATATGAAACATTTAATGTAATAAAAAATAATGTGGTAGGGGTAGAAGCTAAATGGAACATGAAAGTGTCAAAATTAAGACGTGAAAATTTTAAAATTTAGTGTAAAAACAATGGAATTATTTTGGATTTTATAGTTTCTTTTCACCACACAGTTAAACGGTAAAGGAGAAAGAATGAATAAAATATTACAAGGGGGAAAAAAGAACATTGCTAAAAGATTAAAAAAAAAGAGATGCAGGAAGAAGCTCACCGAACTGTAACATAATTATTTGTTGAACCATAGGATCAAAAGGAACAGTATGACACCAGAAAAATTAAATAACCAAGGCCTAATTTATCAAGATTGAAATTTTTTTTTTAAAAGTATTTTACATGCTAGAATAAATAAACCAATTAAAACGCTTGATTCATGAAGTGAAAAGTTCATATTTTTCATTACACAAATGGCTATAGATTATGAGATAGAAATTCACTGCAAATCAGCCTGCACAAATATTTTATCCTATTTTTTTTTTAAATTCATTTAGTACCTAAAATGACATGATCTATGTTAATGCAATTATCTGAGTTTAGCACACATTTAATCTATTTGTAATTTGCATAATATGGATATATAAACAACTTGCATTAAAAGAAATGTTTAATAAAGTAAACAATCAAATATTTAGCCTTTTTTTTTTTTTTTTTTGGTAAATTTTGATACTCTTTTGCAGATTTTGATCATAAATGCATCATTATTTCATAAATCACGATTTCATATTTTTAATTTATAATTTCTACTCTTACTAGATTTAAACTGATGACCTAATATCCGGAAAAATCCCAAATCCGGAATCGCGGAAATCCCGACGAGTCTGGATCTCGGACTTTGTACTGTACTAAGCAAATGTGTAAAGATGACCACCAAGTGAAATTATTTATGGGGAAGCTGTGGCCAAGGTAAAACAAAAGGCAAAGAGAAACAGCTCCATAACAATTGAATTCATATTTATGTTAATTTATGTGGCAGCAGTATGAAAGAAGAGAAAAAATATTTGATTTCTTAACAGCAGTAATTGCTAAATTGCAGCCTTCACAAATGTAAATAAACGTTATTTCTTCAAAGAAAAATAAATATTACTTCAGTTTAAATGTAAATCATTATTAGTAATTGTTAAATAAATGTTATTTATTATGTTCCTGTATTGCGGTTTTTCATTTTTTGAAGGTTACCATAATGTTTGTTAATGTTCTCCAGATAAATTTTAAAAGTTGCCAAATTTCACTAAAGCCTATGTGTTGGCTGCTTTAATACTGACGTACCAAATTAATAAATTTTTTATCTGCAACTCTTAACCAATTTCTAATTTTTTCTTCTGCTAGCGTCTTTCATCATATCTTTCAATCATATCATTCCCTTAAATATAATAATGCAAAATAAATTATTATTTATAATTTACCTTTTTCACTGGACTTTCATCTGAATTCTCAGATACCGCTGATGCACTGCCTTCACTATCTGAGCTTTCCTTTCCAGGTTTGTATTCATCTTCAGAATCTTCTGACCCAGATGCTATTATGATACGCCGTCTTTTAGTTTTAGAAGTGGTGACTTTTTCTTCCTAGGGGCAAAACAGATAATGCAAATTAATAATTCACATGGAAATTCATTTTACTCATTTTTCAAACGGAACAAAATTTCCAAATTATACAGTATTTGTTTTTTACAGAAATTATTATTTGCATTTAAAATATTACTAAGAATTTCATTTACAGAATCAATTTAATGGATTCAATATTTATCAGGTTGAAAAGATAAATTAATGATTGAAATATGGACAAAATTAAAAAAAAAAAAAAAAAAAAAAAAAAAAAGTCAAGCATTGAGCCTGAAATCTTGAATTTAGACAATTTTAATGCCATCTAAGTGATTTTGTTTTATAATTTCATTTCAGGTTTACTTTCTAACATGGCATAAATTGTCTACACAAAAATTGTAATTTCTAATATATTAATGTAGCTTAAAATAAATAGATCATAATCATAAACTTGCTCAACTAGTTATTTGAAAATTTAATTGCTTTATTAACATATCTTGTCATTTCATTTCACATTAGATTCTAATACATCATCCAATCAATTATTAAAACTATACAAATTTAAAGTGTAAATGAAGTATTCCTACATTTCTACAAATAAGAAAGGATTTACTTGGCTTTTGAAAACACGTAGTCAAAACTTTAGTTTGCACTTATCTTTAAAATTATCTGAATCCCACATTTATAAGACGTGTTCGTCAATAAAAGGTAACTGACAGAATGCACAAAATATAAAAATAAAAAACTGATACTATTAAATATCAGTTTTTACAAAAAACTAATGTTATGCTAGTGACAACAGTGTTGTTATTAAAGTACCTAATTTCAGTAGAAGGGGACATGATCGAAATTTTGCAAGAATTAACAATGAATAACAGTGAATGCATAAAATTTATAGAAATATTTTAATATTCTCAAAAAAAGGTGAAATCCATAAGAGGGAAAATTTTAACATATAAAATTAAGTAATTTTCAATAAGTTTTAATTAATAAAAACATCAGTCACAGTATTCAAGTAAAAGCATAACTATTACATGCCTAAATATCAATGGAGTAATTATGAAAATTAAAAAAAAAAAAGAAAAAGAATTAAAAGAACAGAAGGAGAGGGGGGCAAGGCAAAGAAATTACAATACTTGCAAAATCAATAAAATAAAGTATGCCATATTCACTCTGATGCTATTTAACTGTTTATCCAAACTTATTAATTAATATTTATCTGTTACTTTTTATTTCTGCTAGTTATGTCTTTATTAAAGCATAAATGTTATCATTTAGTCACCTTCTATGAATTTAAATATATATAGCTTATAATTAAATGTTTCAAAAATAAAAGGAATAAATTACACCTTTTAATATTAATGGTATTGGAAAACACAATTTCTTTCCACTGATACAAAAAAGCCCTGTTACACACAGAAACATTTTGAAGAAAATTCAGACTGTATCTTAAACCTCACAGCAATTTTGATTTGATGCAGGCCAGCTGTTTGGCCTGTGATATTCTCTATTCAGTTGAAGTTACCAAAACGTAATTAAGCAACAACCCAAGTATGTACAGAGCACATATCTGTTTTGACTAGTGGATAATGCTGACTTGTATGGATGCTGAATTTGTGCAATTCTTGGATATTTTTTAAGCTAAAACAGACTATTGTGTACATTCCCATGTACACAAAAAAAGGATTTATCAAAAAAGGAAGGGTTTTATTACCGATGCTTCTTGCTTTTTAAATTTGATTGATTGCTCTCGTATGGAATACTTAATGTGCGACCACTTTCACATATTAGGTTACAGAAAAATTAGTTGTCAATGATTTTGTGAATGATCTCTAAAGTCAGCTACAAGTTTGCAGTATTTTGATGGTTCTGAGAATAATAAAATATTATTGAAAAAAATACCAGTATCTTACTTTCAGTGTGTCTGCATTACATGTTCATCAAATTTAAGAGAAACATTATCCTGAAATAGCTGAATGCTGCATTAGAATACTGAAATAAACATGTTATTAAAATAATTTATAAATTTCGGCTTCTGATGCTAAGATACTGGCGGTACAGGTTGAAGTACCCAGTACTTTTGCAGTACCATAGGTGATTGAAGTAATACTAAATCTAGCTGTTAAGCTTTCACTCTCAATATTGAGGAAGAATACCCTGGGAGACGTTCCAAGGGTCTCCCACACATCTTCCCCTGCCACACAAAATCTCCTGAGAGAACTTTACTTGTTACATATTTTTAGTACCTTCTTACTATACACAGCCATATGTTTACAAACATTCATCTCTTTTCCGAAATTCAAACTTGGACCCATTGGTATGGCATAAGCATCACTAAATATTATACAAGCTGGGCAGCTACAAACCGAAGAAATACTAAGCATCGATCCATCAAAATACTATTGAGATTAAATGAATAGAAGCTGTTTCATGGGATACATACAAGCCCCATAACAGATCACAAAATGATTGCATTATAATAATCATTACTGCCAACTTAAGAGAGCAGAATATGAAACCTTTCTGCATTAGAATTAAGATTATAATTAAAACTAGCTTCTGTTACTTTTAAATACTATTGAGTTAATACACTTATTAGTGAGCTAAAGCAACCAAAACTAATTTTTTTTGCTAACCATTAGATTTTTCAAGATTCCAGAATTTCAGTAGTTTATAAAAAAATCATAAACTGTATGACAGATGGACTAGATACAATAGTGTACCTGAAAATATAGGATGCTTCCCACGCAAAATGTTTTGGTCTAACTGAGTAGTTATTGAATTCTTAAAAAATTAATAACTACCTTGACTAATATTTTAAAACAGATTTAACTTTTACAATAAAATAACTTACCTCATCAGTTTCCGCTTCTCTTTCAGAATCAACATCACTTCCTAAGAAAAAAATGTATTCAAAAATAAATAAATAAATATAAAATAGCTGAATCCACTATACATTTTTTCTCTATTTGGTGTCATACATAATAAAAAAATATTAAAAGAGTTTGTATCATTCTGGAAGCAAAAGTCTTGAACTACACTCAAGAGCCAAAACATTATGACCAGCCCTACATTTGGCGATGAACGCGCCTGGATGACGTGGAAGGCACGCGATCAGGTGGAAGTGGTATTTAACTGCTGCTGGAGAGTCTGAAGAATCATTCTTTCACTTGCTTCTGTGTGTGATGGGAAAGGCTGCGGATCTAAGCGACTTTGACTGAGGGCAGATTGTAACGGCCCGAAGGCTCGGAACAAGTATTTCCGAAACTGCACGACACGTGGGTTGTTCACGATCTACAGTTGTTAGCACATATGAAAAAGTGGATGAATGACGGTGAAACCAGCAGTAGACGACATGGTGTTGGACGTCCACACGCTATCAAAGAAAAAAGTCGTCAGAGACTGTCTCGCATGGTGAAGTAAAACCGGAGCCAGACAGTGGCCCAGCTGACAGCCGAATACAATGCAGGGCCAAGTCAAAAAGTATCGGAGCACACTGTTCAGCGGACACTGTTGGATATGGGGCTATGCAGCAAATGTCCCACTCGTATGCCTTTGCTGACCAAGCATCATCGCCAACTGCTCCTGCACTGGGCCCGGAAACATCGCGACTGGTCCATGGATCAGTGGAAAAGAGTTGCCTGGTCAGATGAATCACGGTTTGTCATTCATCATGCCGATGGCTGTGTCAGAATACGCTGTCTTCCAGGTGAACAGTTGCTCCCTCAATGCACAGTAGGTCATACACAGGCCGGTGATGGTGGTATTATGCTCTGGGGGGCGTTCTCTTGGGCGTCTCTGGGACCCGTGGTTGTGGTAGAGCAGACCATGAATGCTACAGGGTATCTGAACATCAGTGCAGACCAGTTGCACCCTTACATGGCCTCTGTCTTTCCAGCTGGAAATGGAATGTTCCAACAGGACAATGCCCCGTGTCACAAGGCTACAATTGTGTTGGAGTGGTTTCCGGAATATGATGCTGATTTCCAGTTAATGTCCTGGCCACCTAACTCACCAGATCTCAATCCGATAGAACACATTTGGGATGTCATGGGGTGGCAGCTCAGAGGTCAAAAACCACCAATTCGCAATATCTCGGATTTGCATGATCATTGCTACAACATCTGGTACAATCTGCCTTCGGTCATCTATCAAGGACTTGTGGCATCCATGCCAAGACGGGTTGAAGCTGTGTTGCTCGCCAAATGTGGCCCAACTCGTTATTGACAGATGGTCATAATTTTTTGGCTCTTGAGTGTAAACAACTTAAGTAAAATACTTAGATTGTAAAATTAATTGTATTGTTAAAAAATATGCTAAGATAATCTATTGTTCTCAAAATCTGCTTCTAATTAAAAAGAGATCTTTCGTTCTCAAAATCAAGGTGAAATATTAAACATTTAGCTTGACTGCACCGCCAGTAATAATATAATACAAAATAAATTTTCTAAAACAAAAAGATAATTTTTTTCGTTACAAAACATAATTTACACATGAAATCCTTATTAAATATTTAATTGTAAGGCTTTTCATTTCAAGTAAAGTGAAGTATCAGGTAAACACCAAATTTGGCATTTTTGTTGTCAAATTATGATTTTATTCTAGTAACTTTACTTTCGCTGTTAGACAGATGTATTATGCCAGGCATTTTTTTTTTTTTTAATTCAAACCAATGGAATTGTGGGATATTTCTCTCTTGGTCATGTTATTTGTTGATTGTTATTTTTAAAATACCTTTTTTCAAAAAATAAATAGTGAAAACATTACATTTGAGTGCACATTGAAATTTCACCTGTTCTTGGGTAATTATGTTCATGGCCAGTGGCAAAGTCGAATTTGAGCAATTCTCTAATTTTTTTTAGAACAGCAGCACCCTCCCTGCAAAAAAAAAGTACTGAAGGACATCTTTAAAAAGGTAAGTTTGCAATGCGAGTTTGTGTTATTCCCTAATTTCTTTTTCTTGTAGTAAAAGCAGATTACTGTGTATGGTCTGGTATATGCTAGGTGTTCAAACTGACCCTCTTTCCAATACACAGTAATCTATCTGGGAAAAGTACAAAAAAATTTACTGAAGCATTTTTTGAAATGCTTAGTTTTTTTAGACATATCATACAATCCTTATTTAGTAATTAAAATTGGTATTTTAAATTTCAGTGGGAATTTTTGATAATTTAACTAATTTAAGGGAAAATTCAACCAATTTGGCAGCAACCCTTATTTCTTTTTTCCCCGCCGCCATTTTGTCTTCACGAAGTAAAGACATGTTTCTTTTCTTTTATCTACTGAACACTTCTTCCAACAATCTACTAGCCGAATTACACTTATGCTAGAAATTTTATCAAACAAAACTGCTTAATCATGACAAATATTCACTGCAAAATTGGAAAAAGTGCACAATACCATACTCCTTACGCGTTTTTCAAAATAACACATACACATAAACCATGTACACGCCGACTTATTTTTTACTTAAAAAAACATCCCAGAATTGCACAAAAATGGCATTGCGCACACTCTTCACTATATCCATGTACACTGCTTTTTTTCTCATAAATTAGAAAAATTTTCACGAAAATACATGACAATTTTCTCAATCTTTAAACCCGGTAAAAAGAACATATATGAAATTACCTGATCGCGAAAAAGTATTTACCCTTTCAAATATGAACATTTCCACATATAAAATAAATAAAATATCCAAAAACTTTTACCTCTAAATCATCTATTACATTATACACGTCACCAACGAATTCATACCGCAAGCATTACAAATACTTAGTATCAAATATTTAAATTATTTCCATGCACGTTTATTTCAACTTAAACGTATACCAAATTCCTACAAACATAAAATTCACAAAATAACTATCATTTAATTAAAATATCACTAAACCATGTACACGTCGACTTATTTTTACTTAAAAAAACATCCCAGAATTGCACAAAAATGGCATTGCGCACACTCTTCACTATATCCATGTACACTGCTTTTTTCTCATAAATTAGAAAAATTTCACGAAAATACATGACAATTTTCTCAATCTTTAAACCCGGTAAAAAGAACATATATGAAATTACCTGATCGCGAAAAAGTATTTACCCTTTTCCAAATATGAACATTTCCACATATAAAATAAATAAAATATCCAAAAACTTTTACCTCTAAATCATCTATTACATTATACACGTCACCAACGAATTCATACCGCAAGCATTACAAATACTTAGTATCAAATATTTAAATTATTTCCATGCACGTTTACTTCAACTTAAACGTATACCAAATTCCTACAAACATAAAATTCACAAAATAACTATCATTTAATTAAAATATAATTAAATTCAAAAACACTACTTAAAATATAAATGAGCACATACATTAAATTAATAAAAATTACCTTACAATCCTAATTACTTTAAACTAAATCATTGCTCTAATAACAATTTTCCCAATAATACCAAATTCCTTTCCACCTTACATTTAGAACAATGCATAAAAATATATCCTCAAATAATTAAAAATACTAACTTACCTAATCTTCTTCAGAATCTTGATTACGTGTCCGATAAACTTTTCTTACTTTTACGGGCCATGGGATCCAAAAATTCACGAACACTGTTTCACACACAACACAGAATAAAGCCAAATACAAAATTTCCAGATTTTTTCCTGATTTCCCCCCTTTTCCGATTAAAGAACCGTAATTCGTCCATTAATATCACATGACATATCCCATGATCTCTCATTTCCCTCACACAAAATAATGCGTAATCGGAACTGAGTACTGCTCACATTATTACCAAAGTCCCAGGTAGTAACCTTTATCGCCTCCAAAATGTCGCCAAACTACCAGTTACCATATTGTAAAGATCAACCGTAGTTTTTTTTTTTTTTTTTTTAAAGTCACCAAAATCAGCAACCTGCATCCAATAAGTAACTTTCACATACTTTTCTTAGTTTACCTGCAAACTGAATGATCTATCTCTTAAAAAGTAGTTTAGCATTGAAGCTAATCTACAACAAATGCTCTAATGTGTGCAGTAAGTTGTAAATATGAAGTGAATTCGAGTACTCTTTTGTAAAAAGTAAATATTTTTAATTTATAAACCATAAAATTATCTTTGTTCTTACATATTATGAATTGCAATAAAATAGTTTATATTCCTGTACATTAAAAAAGTTCATGAAAAATGCTTATGAAACAAATAGTTCTATTTGAATTTTTTTTTTTTTTAAGTATTGCCACATCAGAACATGTGTACTGATTCCAAAAATCCTAATTTCCAGGAAATGATGGTAGAATAACTCTTTTGGTATCTGTCACAGATAAGAAACATCATTTTTGGGTACTTATGTATTATTTCAATCAATGAAGTCAACAAATGAAGTCAACAAATTTTCAAAATGTGGTAAATTCACCAACCAGTGAATAATCATACTTCAGGCAATAATCAGTCAAGCAATGTTGCCATTTTTGTATGCATTCTTTTTGTTGTATTTCACGTTCAATGATTTTTACAAACAAAACATGATATATCTGGCCTTTAAAATATTAACTCGTGTAATGTGTCAGCACTGAAAAAAAAATACTGTAAAATTTCTGCTGGAATACAACATTTTGTTTCAAGATTTCTAAAGAGAAGAACACAAATTTACTACCAAAAACTTTCTGAAAACTATTGTTTACAATCTAACACTTTCAGGAAGAGTATCATTCAAATTTTTGGTACTTACGTATTATCGCAACCAGGTTGGCGCTATTTGTAAGTTTGAGTAAAAAAGTATGAATAGAAAGAAAATGTACATTTATTAATTACAAATAATTTTTAATACAGTTTTTTTATATTATTTTTGTTTTAAAATATAAAATAGCAATTAAACCCTTCCGGTTTCGAATTTGAATAAGTTGCAGAATTATTTTTTCGGCGGAAATCTTTTGGCTATTGCTTTTAGCACTGATTGAAAACCTTATTCGCCATAACCATGTACACGTCGACTTATTTTTACCTAAAAAAACATCCCAGAATGCACAAAATGGCATTGCGCACACTCTTGACTTTATCCATGTACACTGCTATTTTCTGATAAATTACAAAAATTTGCACAAAAATGCAGGAAAATTTTGTGAATCTCCCACATGCTCTTTTTACAAAACTACGTATAACACGTAGGGTTTCCGTAAGTAGGGTCGCCAAATTTGGCAATTTATGCGAATTTTGGCCTGGTTGCGTTAATATGTAAGTACCAAATTTTTTTTAAAAACATACACACACACACTAATGTTTCACACCTTTTTCTTATTGTTTGTTTCAGCATTTTTAACTTAGGATTACATTCCTCCATAATGGTCAGATCAGAAAACAAAAATTAAAACGCTATTTGAGGTGTGCAAATGTTTATACCTTCAAAAATATAAATATTACAATCAATCTAAATACATCATTAGATAGAAGTGTGTGTATGTGTGTATTTAATTATGGCAAAGCACACGAGGGCTATCTGCCTAAGGGGAGGGATGCCTTTCGTGGAGGACTTTCTAAGGGAAACTGGCTCGTATACACGTTACACATGGGGAAAACCACAAAAACGCCCATGCAGCCAGCCCGTTCGCGGGATTCGAACCTCGGACCAAACTACCAGTGTTCAGCGACTTTACCGCTCGGCCGCTGGTGGGCCCCATTAGATAGAAGAAACAGCACATTAGTAAACAAACAAAGAATATGCATGTAATGCATCAAAAATAGTGAAATTTTGGTGAAGCATGCACATGGGCAACCACATGCGAGAGGCAAAGTTATCTGGTAAACAGTCAGTGTGTTCAGACGATATTTGCTGTATTTTATTTTATTTCACCAAGATAGTGGCACTGCAATTTATAGAAATTTGACTAATGTAGTAGATTGTGTGCAAACAGAATTTACTGTTAAGCAGTATAATAGAATAGGGGATTCAGAAGCAGGCGATATTTGTATGGTTGACTTAACTGTTAATGGACAGTCACGATTTATTCTAGAATCTGGATATATTCATGCAACAGTTAATTCAGATCAGAAGATGCTCTTGCTGGGTAGAGTAGACTTTAAGGTACCCCTTGTATTATGGCGAAGTTGTTGTTTAATTTATCGCCAAGTTGTTGTTTCATTTATGGTAGCCTGAGTAGTTCAATGTTATGGAAACTCTATTGTGACGTAATCGGGTGCATGATTCTGGGAAATTTTGAATCTTGGGATGTTTTGTATGCGTTTTTGTGGTGTGTTGGTTTGATTCTTTAGAAGGTAGAATGGCCGAATGTAGTAAGATTAATTTGAAGTTTCTATATGATTTGGAGTGAAAGGGGATAAAAGCTTTAATTGACTGGTGTGTAAATGAAGATTTACTTAGCAGCCATTATAAGTGTCCTGCATGTAGGAAGGATATGCGTCTAGTCGAACGTAAAAACCGTTTAGATGGATTTGTAGGAAGGTTCAGATGGTCACTATGTGAAGCGTTCGATCAGAAAGAGTACCTGGTTTGAAAAAAGTCATTTGAGTATGATTGATATTTTGATTTTTACGTGGCTCTGGGTGTACGAAGAGAACTTGAAAATCATGGTAAGTGAATATTTGCTTTTGGTAGTGCTTAAATATATAACATGTTTTTTTCCTTTTTTGTGTTATTTTATTTTTTGGTTTAAAATGTATTTTATTGAGATTATTGCATTTTTTGTTTGCCCTATATTGTAGAATTTGGTGCTCCTTTGACTTTTTAAGTGAAAAATATATCAATTGTGTACATGGACAAAGTAAAGGGAGTGCGCAATGCAAGTTTGTGCAATTCTGGGATTTTTTTCTAAGTGAAAATAGGTCGACGTGTACATGGATAAAGTTAAGAGTGCGCGATGCCATTTTTGTGCAATTCAGGGATTTTTTTTAAGTGAAAATAGATCAATGTGTACATGGATAAAGTCAAAGGAGTGCGCAATGCCATTTTTGTGCAATTTGGGGATTTTTTTTTTAAGTGAAAATAAGTCGATGTGTACATGGATACCGAGTTTGCACAATTGTTTGTCTTGTTATTTTGGTTTTGTGTAGCGGCGATTTTTGGCCCAAAAATTGCCGCTTCGCAAGCGAAAATAACGAGTCAAAGAATTGCACCAAATCGGTATCCATGTACCGCCAAGTTTCGCCAAGGGGTACCCTAAACTATACTTTTACCATAACAATTTAACATCATAAAATTAACATCAGTTTTCAGCAAACAATTAATCAGTTTTCCAAAGGATACATTAATTCCTTTGTTTAGATAAATAAAACTGAAAATTGTATGATTAAATAAAAACTGACCTTTAAATAGAAACTGGATTTCATCATCTTAACATCATTTTAACAATCAATCAAAGTAAAACTCTTAAATTTCAATATGCATGTGAATTAAAATCCAGAATATGCTTCAACACATATTAAATCTACATCAATAATTATTTTGATAAACACCTGTGTTATATTAAACATAAATAACAGGTCATATCTAATAAAATCAGATACAACATAATACAGTGAAGCACTGGATATTCATTTCGTCTAAACTTATGTTTAAAACACACACAATTTATTATATTGACTTAAGTACGAGGTTAGATACTATTGTCAGCTTGTATCAGGCCCACATACTTATGATATATCACTTTTTTGTCAATGTCCATCCAATAGATCTTAATTCAAAGTAATAATACATATTTTGTTTTGATTTGCAATGCTGAGTTTTAACTAACTATTTATTTTATATGCCACTAATTTAGTTAAAGCAGAATCAAGTGCCAATTAAATATTAAATTTGCAATACTTATAACATTTAGAAAATGGTTATGTTTTCTTAAAAGGAAAAAATTCGAGCAGTAACAGGATTTAATGATTTTTAAAAGTGAAATAATCACTACCTGCATTACAATTTTACGCTACTGCAAGATACACAAATACAAACATACAAAACATTTAATCCAAACCATATGCCCATAATCAAATAAAAATTATAAGAGAAGCAATAAAAATCTACTGTATATAGCAAATAATGTTGATATTATGGAATCACATTTCAGAAGCAATCAGACATAAAATACATAATATTATGCGATTTTTATTCATTATGTACACTGACAAACTTACAGTACGTAGAAATATATAAATGTTATACAATCACACATTATACAGGTACAATTTGTCTCACCTAAAGGCGCGTGTCTTTTGTTTGTAGTTTTTTCAGATTTTCGATTTATTTCAGATTTTCTTGAAGGAGTCTGTGAATCAGAATTACATATTCCGTTAAGAGATTTCTTAGAAGAAAGAATGTTTTCTGAAGCGGAATTTTTCGACACAGGAGTTTGTGATTTAGGTGTTTTTGGAATTGGCTTACTTGCTGGACTTTTTGAAAAGAAGTCTAACAATGTTTTAGGTTTTGACATAGTGAAAAAATGTTCCAACCTTTTAATAAATTCTCAGATAAATAAGACTTTCAAGCACACAGACTACGAAACAATGCTGTGCGAAAAATAAATAATTGGCGCGCATTTCTTACTGTTGCCAGTCTAGTCGTAAGGTCGTAGGGAGAAAAGGCACCAGGAAAAGGGAAGCAGAAATTAGTTCTTTTCCGGTTTATCAATTTTAGCCAAAATCTACATTGTTCCAAATGATATAGAAATCTTAATATTAAAATTAAAAACTTGAACTATATTTTAATATACGTTTAAAAAGTTCTAGGTTTCAAATACATCTTCCGATTGTCCAGGTTTCATCCAAATCTAACTAACTGAATGTAGAAAGCTTATCCAGATTCTTATCAGAAGTCGAGTAAAAAAATGTTTCTACATCTTGACACTCGAGAATAAAATACGATTTGTAGTATGGAAAACAGAATTTTTTAGAAGTTTCCTATAAGAATCATAGTGGACGAAAAAGCCGTCGCATACAACTGATACACAGACAGACAATGTTGTAAACGTAGTAGAAACACGTTGTGGAGACCCTAATTATTCACTGAAAACTCACTATCGAATTTGGGGATCGAACAAATACCAGGTGCGTCATAAATTCGAGCAGTTAAAAAATTCGTAATAAAAGAAGGAATGCACGGAAAAATTTTTCTGTTTGCTCCAATATGGTCAGAAATCCACTGGATTTTTTTTCCATGTAAAATAAAAAAAAAAAATGTTTCCAAAAGTAAAGGGCGCTCACACGTCATACTGAGACGTTTTATTCAAATCATGCAAACAGATCACAATAACATGACACTATGCATTTATTTTATAGTAAGAGATGTTCAACATTACCACCACCACAAGGTAATAGGCAAGTGAGACGCGTCATTAAGCTCATTACAGCGGAGTGTAGCATGTCACCATCGATGGCATCGACGATCAGTCTAATGGCATTTTTCATTTCCACCAGTGTGGTTGGGGAGCCCCGATACACACGAGACTTTAAATATCCCCACAACCAAAAATCTACCGGGGTCAAGTCTGGTGATCTTGAGGGCCACTGAATCATACAATTGCGACTTATCACTCGGTCTTCGGTGAAAGATTCCAACAGGAACGTTGGCGTCTCCTGCAATGTGAGGCAGGGCACCATCCTGCATGAAGGTGACAGCAGGTAACGCATGGTCTTTCCTGCAATACAGGCACAACGTGGTCACGCAAAAGAGTAAGATACCGTGCTGCAGCGACTGTACAGGTTTTCACGCCGGATACAGGACAGGGTTCTTCAAGAAAGAGTCCAGAATAAAAGAGACGCGGTGAAACCACACCAGTCACATGAGGAGAACACAGTGGCTGGCTCTGGTACTCACGAGGGTTTGACGTCGCCCAAATACGACTGTTTTGCGTACTGACGTCACCATGCAGTGAAAGGGGGGCTTCATCCACCCAAATGGCATTCAGCAACCATTGTGGGTTACTTTCCATTTGTGCCAGCGCCCATGTAGCAAACTTTTGTCTTGCATTCTGTACCTGCCGGTAATAACTGGTGAAGCTGCTGGATTTTGTACGGATACAGATCCAACATTTCGTGAAGAATACGTCGAATCGACGCTTTGGGAATCCCTGTTCTTCTCTCAGCTTCACGAGCACTGCTACTCACTGTTGATGTCTCGTCTGCCATATCTTTCATGACACTTTGTACCACATGGACACGATCCGCTCTCAAGGGTGGTCTGCCACTTCGTTGACGATCCTCCAAACTCCCCGTTTCCTCAAATCACCGTACTAAATTCCGTATCCCATTCAATGAAATAGGGCTTTTTTTGCGCCTTCACTCCTTTCTCTGTGCGAAACTTTCGCAATGTAACAGTTGTGGATTAACCATTCTTGTAGAACAATTTAAACACTAACGACCGATCTGGTAAAGTAAGCATGCCACCGGCTTCGAATGACGGATCCGTTTCCATCCAAGTATTTTATTGATATTCTGATTTGCATAAAACATCTCAGTATGACGTGTGAGCGCCCTCTCTTGGTTACTTTTGGAAACATTTTTTTTACTTGGGAAAAAAAATCGAATGTCTTTCTGACCATATTGGCGCAAACAGATAATTTTGCGTGCATTCCTTTTTTATTACGAATTTTTGAACTTACGAATTTTTGAACAGCACGAATTTATGACGCACCCGTTACATGAGACAAGCTTTGAAAGCCCACAACTTTCGATACTTTTTCCCTAGCTCGTGTGATCATTGCGTTTTGCTAGCGAGAACATGCTTTGATGACTTTTGATATTGCGCTGATCAATTTTCGCAGGAAAAAAGGCCTGGTATGTCATTTGAAAATTTCAAAATTTTTGACTGTAATCGTAACCAGGATAGCTCTGTTTCCACCAGAGTCTCAAACGCGTTGACCAGTTACGGGATCGCGTACGATGGAGGCAGGATCTTGGAAGAGCTCCTGAATTTTCAAAGGTGTTTTCCGGAAAATCTTCATTTATTTCAGAAAATTTTCGTGAATATCCTCTGCATTGTCTCGTTCTCAAAGGCCGGGAGTTTCTCCTGTACCTGGGGGTCTTGTCTTCCTTGCAATCTTTTGCATCACTAAGACGGAGCGTTCAGATAAGTAGAACTTCTTTTCTAAGCTAAATCAAATATCTGTCACTAAAGTACCTTTAAATTCATTCATTATATTTTAATATTATTATGCTCATTTTATTATGTTCTGGCATTAAATACTTAGTAAATTGCTTTAAATCATGTGGTTCTTTTTGGTTACCATCTCGTAGGGACGCTATCCTTATCAGTAGTAGCCCTTATCAGTAGTGTTAGCCTATCAGCAGTATATTTCCTAATCTATTTAAATTAAAAGCATATATTAATACAGTGTGCCTCAAATTGATAAAATAGTACACATATAATAAATTATGACCATTAACTTAATAAATAAATAAAATGCTTATTTTTAAAAAAATTAATTAATAATAATAATAAAAAAACTCCGTAATTTATTTACTTATTTATTTTTGCTGATATGTTTTCGCCTTGTTTTGGATTTATGATTTTATCTGATGGTGTTTTCTGAATATATAAATATGTTGGAACCCGGAATAGATGATGTTACTTAGTTTAAGTATAACTTGCATGATATTATATGTATCTTGATCTTATGTGTCTTGTTACTGTGTCTCAAGGTAGAGGCTAATATTGGTTTCCATGTAAAAAAATAAAAGTTTAAATTTAAAAAATTTTAAATTTTAGTTTCCCTGTTATAGCAAAGTTAGCTTCTAAACTTGACTTATACTGTTATGTGACTGGACCCCAAAATTTATTATTTTATTATTAATTTCCCCATCTTTACCTCTATTCAGCTTTACAAAACACACTCATTACACACACCTGGAAGACTGTATTTAATGTAAATGATAACAACTTGACTACACTCATGAACACAATCGTGTTTTTTTTTTTTTAACAAAATTCTCTTACTTCCTTTCCTTTTCTTTCTATAGGCCCTTTTTTTTTAATTAAATAATTTTTTTTCCTCTCCATTATTTTTGGGCCATTTATTTTTTACTTTATTTTGTCCCATCTTTTCTTCTTGGCCTTTCGAACTCGTATAAAATATACGAAGTTCCTTTTTACTCTCCTCTGAAATACGAAATTGCCCCCCTTTCTATATACCTTTCCTTCGCACCTATGCTTGATTTTTCGCCCATCGGTGCAGAAAGACTTAGCGGGTGCAACAAAAGACATCTGTCTACTTTGTCTGTCTGTCTGTCTGTCTGTCTCAAACGCGTACTTTCAAATAACAATATTTGAAATTTCATTTCGAATAGCCGATAGACCACTAAGAGTTCATATATCTAGGAAGTGTTTTTATGACCATGCTATACACGCACATTTATATATACCAGGTTATTCATAATTTCCTACGGGGTTTCAAAACGCTATTATAAAAATTAAAGCGAATACAGACAAAATGAGCCTTGCACTAAATACTGAAACAATTCTAGTTGACGTCCAACTGCGATACTGGTTAGCGACGCTGACCGCGGCACTACTTCGTACCGAAGGGCCCGGATTCGAATTCCGCAGAAGGCATGAATCTTTGTAAGCTGTGCGGCATAAGGGCACTCTAAGCATGCGGAAAGCCGAAAGTCCTCTCGAGAGATTGTTGGTAGTGAAAGAAGGGTGGGAGACGCTCTGACCCGGCCCCTCGAGGTACTCTTCATCAAAATTGGGGTGCGTAACTAAGCAAAGCCGTACTGTCACCTGTATCCCTTTCAAGAGCAAAACGCCCGAGATGACCTCTCATTCAAACGACCACAACCGCCCGAAATGACCGAGATTGAGATGTTGTTTTCTTCTCTCCCACTGTAGTATGCAGTAGCAGGTGTAATTTCCCCAAAAGCATTGTATCAGTTTATTGCAGACAGCTTGCCCCAAAATGATTTTTTTGTGATTTCTTATCTTTATTTGTTAGGAAGTAGAAAGGATGTCATTTGAAATCTTCACACCTCTCAGTGCGTTAATGATTGGGAAGGGAGGAAATTGATGTGATTCTCAAAAGGCATTTCGGGCGTTTCCGTATTTTAAGCGTACATGTTAGCGAAGGCTTCGATTTTCTAAGAGGTATGGTGTTCAAGGCCTTGCCAACGATAGGCGCAATGTTGCAGTCCTTGCGCAATAAATTTCGTGGGCTTGTTGTGATGTCACTGTCAGGCAAGTGAGATAAGTCACCACAACAACAGTTCAACAAGTTTTTTTATAAAAATAGTTGGCAGCGTTACAGCTCTGTAGTGTACACGGATATGCTTTAACTGTGGTTAATGCCGCAAGAACAATAGGATGACAACTTCGCTTTTCAACAAGACAGAGGTCCATCACATTTATTGCATGATGTGCATGAGAACCTTAACACACAGTTTCCTCAACGTTGGAAAGGGCGAGCTTCCGAATGACTTACCTCTCTTGCTGCGGCAAAAAAGCTGTTTGACATTTTATTGTGAGGCTATGTAAAAAACATTGTTTGCATGTTTGCATACCTTTTACCGCGTGATTCAGCAGAATTGCGTGAAAAGATTATACATGCTGTTAATACTGT